TAAAGATTGAATTACGTATTTTCTCCTAATTGTAGTATGTTCAACACTTGGATTTTAAGAACTTTAAATTAAAAGATATGTGTTATGTATTTTTAGCGCATTTTCTCATTTATGGGAAAAATGCACTATTGTGCTCGCCATGTCTGTCCCTCCGTCCGTGACCTCAAGTTTTCGTTGACGAGAAAATGCGCTCTCTGTCACTCACTGCAGTGAGTACTGAGTTAAATTTTTTTAGATGTTCTACGTTTGTTTTTGTTACAGAACCTTTTTTTATTTCTAACTCATCTCGGATCTAAATTCACTAATTTTTTTATAACGTTTTTAATTAACCTTCGTAGAATGTAAATCTCAATTGCGAGTCGTTAGAACTCACGCTTAGTACAAGATAAATACAATTCTTCAACCATTCGCTGCTTTCTGCACAGTGGTGCAAGTCATACAATTTTGTTTGTAGTAGTTATCAGAATTCCTCAAAGAAGCTGAAACTCTGAGCTTCTGAAATTCTTTGTTTCAACATCGGCAATGGCTGGGTTTTCAAAACCTACACGTGACCATGACAACTGCGGAACCAAAATTATAGTGACCGTGAAGAAACTTTCCTTCCCGAAGACAGACTTCTGCAGTTCTGTACGATAGCGTGTCCAGCGATGAATTTATCGTTAAATCTAGAGAAATGAAGGAAGAATTGCTACAGAGAATTTCCACTTGATATTTCGATTCGTTCTATATTCTATCGTCTATATTCGATCTCCGTTAGGAAGTTTCGCGAAAGTTACACGGTTCACTCGGCACTAAAAGAGAGTACAAGTATATGCATGCACTAATTTGATGTCACGCGATGCACGAATATATCTATTCATCGACTTGATCATATTTAATGCTTCACGAAACCAGTTTATCTGAACTTTCCCTAGCAGGCTGGTGTGGTTTTCCTGGGAGAGAGTTTAGATAGCATGCTCCATATGGTGCCTTGTATTTTTTCATGTTTTATTTTTTGTTTAAGACATTCCACTTTCAACAGTAAAATCAATGGATATCTGCCTCGTAGCTCTAATCTTGTGCATGACTGGCGCCAGGCAACAGTTCCCTGACAACACAAACATATATTATATGTTCAGTATCATGAATTTTGTTTCTCTGAAATCCAAGAGACTTGTATACATGATGCAATTAATCGGCTATAGATGATGCATTTACGGACGCTCTGAACAATTAACACGTAACGGTACCTGCACGGAGATGAAGCGCAGCGGCGGGGGATAGTCGAACTTTTCCTTATTTTAGGTGTGCCACGGCATGTAGTAGGTCTTAATGACTCACAAGCTATTTAAGGTTCTTCTTTCAAGTTTGGCCCATGCTGGCTTTCTCTATCCCTACCCTAGGTCATCTTAAATCACCGTGCATATGTAGCATTTCATGAATTTAAGTTTAATTGATGATGTTTAGTGCATTTTTGCTCAAAGGTTTAGCATCCATCATCGCAATTCTACAGATGCTATTATTACGAAGCATTATTTTTTTAATGAATTGAAATTTTGGTGAATTTGGGAAGATAATATTTTAGAGAAACCGTGAAGGAACATAGTACTAATCTATTGTATCATATATTAAAAGACTTCTCATATTGAAGCGGAATTCTATGACCAACAATAGTAGTTGCATGATCATCATTTCGCTGAATAACCGCGTTTTATATTGCGTTTCATGTTTATTCGGCTCACGGAAATGAAGTCTACCGCCACAATGAATACCATTCAATTTATGCGTCATACAATATTGAAAAATGATTTAAGAATATTATCAAATATTTATATTCGCGTGCATTTTTATAGCGAGCTATTCTAAACGGACAGGAAGACTGTTGGAGTTATCGCTAAACATAAGGGAGATAAGAAAAATATTTAGTCAAAAATAATCATGCTCTATTTTGTACTGCATTCACACAATTAGAATTTTTACGCGAACAATATTTTGTTTACCTTATTTAGTTTAAAAAGAGTTGTTCTTTTACTATTATTTAAAGGTAAAGGAGATATACAGCGTTTTAGTCGGGAAATTTTAATAGCAGCAATTCTATTGGGGAATACTATTTGGGTTGTAATTTCTACTACGTTAAGTCTGATATTATCTGACCTGGAAACTCTACAGAATTGCTACAATCGATCATCCAACCAATTAATTGGTGTGAACAGCTTGTTCTCCTCTGAAGTGATCTGTATTCCTACGCCGCAATTTCTTCATTCCAATCAGCCAGCCGCTGAACAATTTCTGGGAAAACGAAACAAATTTTCTCTTTGTGTTGATCAAAATGTTACACTACTCCTTGATCATCACTTCCTCGTTTATTTTTGTGCATGTGGTAAGCAAATTTTTATGTATTATCTTTTTCTGGAATTTCTTTCGCGTATTAATTTCTCTGCAACACACTGAGTTCAATCAATTATCTGGCTCGTAAGCACAAAATTCTGCAGTAAATTACCGACGGGTAATAAGAAGTCAATATATTTACAGTACGAATTACTTGAAGGCAATGCGAACCCCTTCAAAGCCGTGTCTATTATATAGGAATGACGGATGAAATGACTTCCGTAAGTTCCGTTGCTCGTGTTTCAGGTCATTCGTCATATTTTATTGCCGTACTGTTGACTCTGGCGACGTGTCGCTCGTGTCATCTGGAATTTATAGTCATCTCGGCTATGTACGCGCTGACTTTTTATCGCATTTTCTCATTTATGGAAAAAAAGGCGCTATTGTGCTCGTCATGTCCGTCCGTTCGTCCGTCCGTGACTCCACGTTTTCGCCGACGAGAAAATGCGCGCTCTGTCACTCACTGCAGTGAGTAGGTACTGAGTTATATTTTTTAACCTAGATTACCTCGAAGCTCCTCCTAGAAATCAAGCTAAGGGAACAACTCAGATCAAGTTATGAGTTGTTGTTCTTTGTTGAGAACGAACTAATTGAATTTGGTCTTTGTTATTATGAAGAACCATCAGTATGCATCGCTAATATTTTACCAGAGCCACAAAATGCTTGCATAAAATTAATGATGACTTGGCGATCATGAGTCCTTCATACTCACGTCTTTGCCTAGAAGGATTACTGATTGCTTTGGATTGCAATTTTATTATATTTGCTACAGAAAGGTGGTTCTTCCAAGTTGCTGCGTACGTGATATTCTATCTACAACTTCCATGCATTACGTTCATTGCCAATTTTTCAATTAATTTCATCGATCCCGATCAAATAAAGTAGTTGATCATCACGTGTCACTCGGCGACTGTGTCGTCGAAAGCTGCATCATTCGAGTCAACTTCCTGCAAGTCAAGTTGGCAAGTGTCTTTGCTTTCCCACACTTGAGCATGTTGTTGCTCTTACGCCTAATTCTTCTAATTTGAACAGCTCCTGTCATTTCACTTCGGCACTTCGAACGTCCCAACTTCCTGCATGTGCGAAAGCCTGACTTGTTAATTGAACGAGGATCGTAGGAAATTATTGGTTGATAATGAACTTGAGAGCTCGACAAGCCCTTGTTAAGAAGTCATTTACTTTGAAAGCGAAGAATATTTGTTACAGAAAGATGGCGCCATCAAGTTGTTGCGTGATATTCTATCTACAACTTCCATGCATTTAATTAAATTCATCGGTCTCGATTAAATAAGGTTTTCGAACGGAAATCCGAATATAAGAATTGAACCTGAGATTGTGATCCTCTCAGTGAATTGATTGAGTTGTTACACATATGAGTTTCTAAAATTTTTGTCATATTTGAATGCATGAGCCAATCTGTAGCATTTATTACCGGTTTTGTCGCATTATTAAATGTTTAGTGTAAAATATTCCCAGCTATGTTTATTTTCTCAACGCTGGCAGGTCACAGCGTTAGTTTTCTTCACCACGACGACTGCCGGAGGCTCAGGATATGGACGGGTGCCAAAAAAGCCTCGTTGACTTGTGCCAGCCATCGCATCCTCTAATGCATGCGTTGTGGCTTAACCTGCAGTTCTTGCGCGCTAACCTTGCCTCATATTGCAGAACGTAATGACGCGTTCATTTATGATAATTTAAACGTGCATTATTTTAGTTTAATTGTATGTTCCGCAAACATACGGTTAACAACTCATCTTAAATAATAGTATTAGGTTTGATTATAAATAATTTTGTGAACGATCTTCTTTTCTCTACGAGCCACTACTATTCTGCTGAAGAACAATATTGTTTCACTTCTATCAGTTACGTTTAGCTATCTATCGTAATTGATATGCCGTCGATTCGTCTCTTCTCATGTTCACGTAGAAAGCTGAATTTTGTAATGGCTGTGAAGCTACTGGAAACGTTGACTTTTTCCATCACTTGTGTTTAGAAGATCATTACTTGAGGTCGCTCAAGTCACACTACGTCATGGGTAACCTAATGACCTCGAGTCTAACCTCTTCGTTTGTAGTAACGCTCACCTGTAGGTATCGCCATCATAGAACTTCTCAAAACTTTCTCACAATTTGCAATCCGTAATTGTGATGCGCTGCTCGCGGTTGAAAATTTTCCGTGTAGGTGACAGGCTCATTTGCTCATCTTCTTTCTGTGGTGTCACTTTATCGATATTTGAATCCTTGATTTATTATACTATTTATTTATTGTAGTGTAATAACACTACAAATCGCAATGTAGTGTAATAACACTGCTAATCGCAACGTAGTGTAATAATAACACTAATAACACTGTAGTGTAAAAAAACACTACAATTTGATCGCAATGTTTTTAATTCTCCTCCAGAGGAAGTTAACAATCATGAATTTAATTTGATATGAAAAATTGTCTGTTTGCAGTCTCTTTCCACAATTTATTGATTAATTTAATACAACTTATTTTTTTAACGTTCAACACTCTTTATTGATGTTTGTAAGGCATCTCTTAAAGGCAGCTATTAGCAATCGAAAAAATAGTTTCTCATTAATTTTTGAATTCATATCGGTATACTTGGATGTAATTTTTCTTCATTGCAGATGATATTCACGCGCCCGCAAGCATCCGCCTCACTGCTCCTGATCCTGCACATGCTCAGATCAGCCTCAGGTCACCAATATCCTGAAGGCTATTATCCTTTTGAAGAAGATCCTCTCAAGTCTCCGCCGAGGGTCCGCAAGCCGCCTTACACGCAAACTGAAGAAGTTTGTTCTGGTGTGTTTTTGTTTAACCTGTTTATATGTTCTCTTATTTTCTTCCTTGTAATTTTTTCGATATTTTTGCATTATTATCTATGTAAAATTTTGAGCATTTTGAAAACATTTCCTGTTGTTTCTTCGTTTTAAAAAGAATTTCATGGAAGTCTGAAAGCGATTTTCAGCAGAATTTTACTCAAAAGCCTCGCGAGGAAATAAATTTAAAAAAATGAGTGAGGCTGTCCCAATAGCGATACTATTTTCTCGCTCTTTTATTGGGTCATCCTGACACAGTTTAGCCCGGCAAAAACTTACAAGTATCAAAGAGTATGTGTTCGTTTTTCATGAATGTACGGGCGATTCTTTGTCGTTTATCGTGAAGCTTAAAAAATTATTTAAAAACGACGCCGCTGCAAATGAACTATCTGATGCAGGAGTGCTGGAAGCTCCCGAGCAGGTTAGCTTGAGCCTCGATAACCTTTGCGGGGACCTCAACACGGGGCTCCTTCCTCGCAATCCCCTCGGCCAAAACGTCCTCGGAGCCTCGTACCCTTTGTGAGTTACTGAGTGAGCCAGAGAGTTGTAGGCACCTCCGAGCGAACTGTGAGCAGAGAGAGGGATTCATAGGGCCCTATGTTGGAGTAGCGAAAAATTTCGTTTAATTTGGTCTTGAAGCGAATAGTGAATGCGTTATGACATTCCACCTATACATCTGGTCAAGGCTTATAAATACCTTACAACTTACAACTCGACTATAAATCATCATTAGGAGTCACTCTATTTTAGTCCATGCAAAAACATTGCGGCTATTAATTTAGTATAGACGTTCAATTTAGTTTTATTCGATGGAGTTTCTCCGCTGCATATCTAAATAAAAAATTAACGAATATGGAAATATTTTATTTTTCAAGTAAAGTTACCATTATCATTTTGTAATAACCTGTAACTTAACCTTACTTGTAGTGAACTCATCAAGAACCAAACGCTGAACTTGTTCAGCAAGGCATTGCCGGTGCTGAAAGAAGACAAAACTCTGCCCAAAGTTGCTAAGTTTGTCAGTTCGACGGTACCACTCAGGTGAAATTTCGTGCCTTTTCCTTCCAAAAATTTTCTGCTGTTCTCGTTAATTTACCAAAATTTTATTGAAGTGAACTGTTAATTCAATAACTGTATATAACCAAATTCTAGAGCTGAAATTACGAAAGAATAATTTGTACTATTTATTCTTTAAATATTAAGTTGTTGCTTTATTTAGTCCAATTCATTCATGGCATAAAATGTTGCTTCAAGGGACCGTTTCAAAGTGGTCAATCGTCCAGTGCGGTCACTACACGAAGAAGCTGGTGTGGCAACGTGGAGTCTCGTCAGGCCGGACCATCATGTGCAAAATTCTGACCAATACGACAGCTTCTTGGATAAAAAACCAACAAAAGATCTAGATAAAGACCTATTCAATGCACACACCAAGGCCGCCAGGAACATGTCGCTCGTAGATTACAAAAGTGAACTGGAGGAAGACTTGGCTGAAATTTTATCTTCCAGTGGACTGGATGATGAGAATGAAATTCGAAATTCCAGGAGGAAAAATTCAAGAGGTGGTCGAGGGCTCTTCACAGATAATGACTCGGCATTGTGGCAGGGTGTTTTACAGGTGAGACAATGAATGCTAATTAAATTTTGAGAATACTTGTAAGAAAGTCTTCGTTGGATTTTGATTTGATAGTGTAACTTTGTATGTGCAATGCGTCATAATTTTTAACATTTATTCATGAGATTTTTGTCTAACTGCTTATACATGTTTATTCTCATCATTTTTGTGTAGCACATAATATCCTAAAAGCTAATATTAGTTGTTATGTTACACTTGCTCTCTTATCTGACTGCAGGGAATTTTCCACGGTATGAAGCTTGATAAAAAAACCGCGTCTGGCATAATTGAAAATCTGGAATTAGACCAGCAGCTGGCAGCCGGTCGCGGGGCGTTCTCCTTCTGCCAAAACAACTGGGGGCTGTGAGTGTGCTTTTGCTCTTACGTATCACTATCAAGTTCTGGTCACTGCTTCGACTGAGTGACTGTTGCTTTTAATTGATTTTGATTGGTTTGATTTTAAATATGTTTGAATAGAATTTCTAATAAAGTTGAGGAGCTATGAATGATTTTGTATTGACTTTCTTTTAGATTTTGTCTGCTTTACAACACAATGATGGGTAAGGAAACCACAAATCCTAATCCAATCCGAGCCACGGAACGTCGAGACAAAGTGGAGCCGTCCGGTAACAGCATAGAAGACGGAGCTCCCCTCACCCCGTGTCCGTCCGCAGTGGAATACGTGACGCCCGTGTTCGCTCGCAACTACCAAGGCGTCTGGAGATACGTCGTACAGATACCGTATGAGGGATACTTCACGCAAACTGTCGAGATCACGCAGTGTTTGTGAGTCTTTTTGATCAGAGATATTTTGCTTGTGCTTATTAGTGGGATTTGTTTTCCCCGCGACAGCAGCACTCTATTTCTCTAACCTAAGATTTCGAAAATAATGGGGCTGGGCGATTATAAAGGAGATTAATGTTTATAGAAATATTTAGTTGCCCAATTTTCATCACTTCAGATTCATTTTCAGATTATACTCTGCCCGGGCATTCGAAATTACACAATGTGTCATTATTTTTCTTCCCGCATTTTTCTCTTATCGTGAATAAGTTGAATTGAAAAATTTTTGCTGTGAGTTATTTATATTTATGTGACCACTATACGATGACCATAAATTACGTTCCAATCTGTAGTTCAGTCAGCCCCTAAATTAGGGAGAACATATCCGTCTGTTGTGGGACGCTTCATATCAGAACACCTTACCCATGGTCTTACCATTGTGTGACACACTCAAGCTCCTGTCAGTAATGTCATTCGATATAGTGTAGCTTTGTATTTGCAATGCGTCACAATTTTAATATAATAATGTTAATATATATATAATATAACGTTAGGTCTTGTTTAGGTTTTATGTCTGTCTTAGAATTTTGACTTATAAAAAATGATTTTATTCATTTTTATATTATCTAACTGATGATGAAGCTGGACTCCGAAACGTTTTCAATATCGATATGGAGAATTTGCTTTTAAATTCCTTGCCTTTCGATACTTATTAAATAAATAATCACGGAATCAAAATCTTCTGTTGATAATAATTTGATTTAATTTATCAAAAAAGAAATATAATTATCATACAGAAATAATAGCATATGATTACACTCAATCGGAGCTCCCGCCGACCTTCACAAACTGAGTTGGACTTCTAATCCGAATTTACATCTTATTCTTTATCCAATTTCAATGAAATTTATTTCTTCACTATTCTACCGGTGTTGTAATATCATATTATCACTATGATTGTGTTGCCAGAGAAGACACGTGTCACTACCTGTCGGGGTCGTGCCTAGCGTCTCCTCGGTGGGTGTCGCTGCTGGTCGCCGAGATCTTCTATCCTGATGCCGTTTTTCCCAGCAAACCAACGAGACCTTCTCTACAGTAAGACTTGCTTTGCTTCACATTTGTCATGAATTTGAAATGTATTAAAAATGAACTGAAAACATGCATTGTGAATTATTCATTTTGCGAACATTAATAAACAAAGTGGCTATCCGTCAATGAGCGCCTTTGATATTTTTTCTTTTACAAAAGTGGCACAGACCTTTCCTTTGCTCTCGCAAGCATTGAATTTGTTCCGAAATATGTTGAATCTATGTCTTCGCATGTAAATTTTGTAATTTTCTCAGTCATTCTGCTTCGAAGTCAATTTTTAAAATTTAGCATAGATTTATAATGAATGTTTTTGCAGGCGCTCCTCTGTTCATCCTTCGCAGCCTCGCCGGCCGCAGCGTCGTCGTAGGGAGGCGGACATGAAGCCACCAGCGCCGCACTACTGCGACGGGGTCGACCAGATCGGCTGCTTCCAGGTTCTTATTTTATATAATCTTTTGCTGTTCAGTATTAATTTAATTTCATCTTATAATCAGCTCTGTTTTGTCTGATAATCACTTGATGATGAATATCAAAAATCAAAGTTAAGCTACCACCGTATAATTAATTTATTAATCTCTAGAAAAACTGTCTCCATGAGATATTGCTCAAATTAATCAGCTTAGTCAAACTTTTTTGAGGTCCAAAATTGAAAGGTTCTTGTCTCAGCTTTACGTCTGATTAATACATCCACTATACCTGTATAAAATTTAGTACATTCGTTCAAAGAAAGTTACACGAGTCAGATACATATGAACACAAAAGTTTTAAGTGGGTAGCACTTGAATACCATATATGTTCGCATATATAGAAGTTCTCAGTCCGGCTTAAGATTATGTCTGCGCTTCGGGTAATTTTCCCACTTAAAACCTATATATTTATTTATCTTGCAATGATAAGGAAAAGTGACCCCAGAAGTGACGCTTTCAGTTTATAATCATACTACTGTAGTTAAAAATGCGTCTTTTCACTGCGATACATGAATACGATAATTTACAGTGCGGTAATTCGTGAGCAGGTTCGTCTGTACTACGACTGGTTCCTGGTGCCAGGCTCCTGCAAGTGCTGGAAGCGTAACGTCTTCCAGCAAAACTTCCGACATCGGCGATAATTTGCGACTTGCTTCAAGTCCTGTAAAATTAATGATTACACCAAAGTCGTTTCTAAAAAGAATTATGGGAAGTATAATTAGAACTTTCGACGTGCACTAGAAAATTAAATCCAGCCAATTATTAGCCGCACTCATGCCGAAATTCAAATTGGTCCAATATTTATGTGGAAAGAAGGTCCTCGAGGAAGGTTTCGTCAAATAAGAAATTAATCCCTTTCCCGTAACTTTGCATCAACAGTCGACTCCTTCTCTGTTAACGTTCGTACAAATCACAAGCATTGACTTTTTTCTTTTACAGCAATTGTTTATGTTATGTAATGAAGATTGATGCATTTTCTAAGAAATTAATTTGGACAGAATTTTGTAGAAAATTAGCTTAATTCATATGTTATTTATAGTGGCATTGACAAAGTAAATTTATGGAACCGCCTATCGCTTGCTCTATTTTAATGCCTAACAAAATGACAAGGGCTTGCATACTTGCGTATGCAAGCAAGGTACTTTACTAAAGATGATGTAGCTTGGATCAGAAAATAAACAAACTACGCGCAACAAGGAAAGAGATTCCACAACAAGCGCCTGTATGTACATTTCATTCCGGTATCAGCGCCTCATATCCAGATCACCTCTGAACGGAAACATGTACTAAACAACTAGATTCCATACACACAACTCATCACAAATATCCGACAGTTACTGTTCATTCAAGTAGATAGCCTAACCCAGATTGATGTTAACAGTGAACTCTTAACATAAAATGTATATTCTTAACTTGCATCAAAGAATTCGAACTGAAGAAAAATTCATATGAAATTGGTGCAAAAATTATTCAAAGAACAGTCATGAGCGGCTATATTTATAATACAAATGTACATCCTATACTTACCCTTTGGTAGAAATCCCTACACAAAATAAAAGATCAGCTTCATTGTCGTGAAAGTGCCAAATGAATTCTATTGAATAAGCAGGTTTTCTGATCATGAACAAGTAGATCCGATATTCCATTTCGTACAAAGCCTACTCAACACATGTCGCAAACCGTCTACTCATAGCTACTCAATGCAACATTTTAGATAAGAATCAAACTGGTAATTAACGTAAATTATTCCCCGTTATCACGCATACTTAATTCAGTAATAAAAACGGAGAGGAAATTTAAGGTTCATTTTGAATAATTTTTTGTCTGATTATGTGAAACCGCCTCACATGGACTGTATTATGTTCGGGTCTTCATGAAAAAATGTAATTTTAATTGGCAACAGATTTGAATTTCATTAGTCGAATTTTACTTCAAAAAATGATCAACCCATAGGTCGATGAGTCTCAATACAGGAGAGTAGCTATGAGTGAACAAGTAAGGAAAAAAACAATAATGATCTGTGGCACTAGATGTAAACAAAAGATGGAAAGAGCAACAGAAAATGACTTCACTGAATGCAGCAGCGAAATTAAAAATAGTGTCTTGTAAACAATTCTGCCCATACTCAATCATTACGAACTCATATTACCATTTCTACATACGACAAGCAAATAAAATTTACAAACAATTCAACTCATCAAGAACTGATCGTTTAATGAAATTTTTAAGCTACTAAACATTGCGGTAGAGTGAATTAAATTCCTATGATTTCGGAAAATTAAACATTATGTGTAAAAATATAAATGTCATTTTAAGTAAGGAAAAGAAATAAAAATGGAGAATTGACAAAAACTACAATTCAGGGAGAAATACAATATGCATACTGGGTTATTAACAACAATTTAAATTCAATGGATCACTTAACAAATGGCGATTGATTATCAAATTGCTCCAAAAAAAAACGTGATAGCACAATATATGTCGGTGATATAAGAGGAAATTTGCAGCGATGCATGCACTGCAGATGTTATGTTTAAAAGCATCTCTAATCATATGTCTGAGGAAGCATTAGATTATTCCGTGACGAATGTAATTCCATTTACATCATAACGGATGTGTCGGATTAATATCATTGCATCTGCGATGACGAAACGTTCGAGGCAGCTGACACGTACTGATGCTGTTGCTGTAACATCATCACAGGCTCCTGACTACCGATAATAGACTCTTGGCCATGCCCGTCTTGCCCGGTGACAATAGCGTTGCTCACCGTGCCTGCGTTGCTACTAACGATGGACCCGTCATGGGTAGCCAGGACGACTTGTTCAGCCGTTACCTGCGACAATACTTGTCCTGTTGTCGGGTCAATAGTGACGATATGTGCGCCTTGCAGCATCTCTGGTGACACGTCGTGGGCTAGTACAACTTGTGTCAACTGGTGATGGCCTCCGATAACCTGTTGTACAAGCATTGCCGTCTCCTGGCTTAGTTGTTGGCCGCTGCCGTCTTGCTGAATAACAATTGGTTGTTGTTGCCGCACACCTCCGCTTGTGACAGTCTGCATCATAAGCTGCTGCTGTCCTGCAATGCTCGGGTCGTGCATGCTGTGCACCACGATGTGTTGCCCGCCGCTGTGGTCGACAATTATTTGTTCGTTACCCTGCATCACCACATGTTCACCTTCAACTTGCTGCTCAACCACCACGTGCTCTCCGTCAACGTGCTGAACTACCATCTCTTCCACAAGGTGTTGTTGTTGTCTTTGTTGAGCCGCTTCTTGAGCTCTAGCTTGAGTGATGACTTCATGAGGCACTAAAGGCACACGTTCATTCATGATGTCTTCCATCATCTCTTCAACAGTTTTATTCTCGCGATAAAAGTCTTCCATCTGCTCAATAGTAACTTTCCATTCCATTAGACGCCACAAGTTGTATTTCAAGACTTCGTATTGACCTTGGCCGTAATCTTCGATCATTTTTACGCCATAATGCTGTAAAATGCGGCCCAGGACAACTGAGACATGGTCCTCGCCCAACCCACATTTCGCAAGCAACGAGCGGGAAAAAAGTTTGAGCAGAAGCCTCTGGCATCGTGAATCCAAACTTTTGTCTTCCAGTTTGTTAGAGTTCGTGACAACAGCATTAGCGACCGAGGAACTCGGTTGCGGCTCTTCAGCTCTCTTATAAGCCACAGCAGAGCGCTTGATCTCGATTTCAGACTTTGGTACCAGTCCAGTAAGCTTGTTCATGTTCACAACCACTCCACCAGAGTAAGTGTCGGTCACTGTAGTGACCATGGGTTGAATGGCACGAGTTACTATATGCAGATACTCAGGTGCCTTGATTGCCACTGGAGTAGCCGATTGCATGCGTTGCCGGTTTTCTGCCGATGTCCGCGTGCTTTGGAAAATAGGCTGTGGTTTTGTAACAGTTGGCCTAACATCAGGGGAATATTCTTCGTTGTCATCATCGTCGTCCCACTCAGATCTTAGGGCTTCGATTTCCGGATTTTTGGAAGCATTACTTTCATCGGCAGGCTGTCTGAATTCCTCCCCATCATCTGCATTGGGCCAGTGAACTTCCTCAACGACATCACTGAAGCCAGAGAGGATCATCTGATTGGCAGATATTCCAGGTTGTTCCATTTCCAAGTCCATGCTCTGATTTTCGCTTATTTGTAGAGGATAGCGAGGCCCTCTGCCAGGCTTGACGTCAGCTGTAAAAATGGCCTTTTTCTGGTGAACTGACTCAATATGTCGGTGCAGCTTGCCCTCGAACCGGAACTCACGTCCACATAATTTACATGAATAGGTAGGGATACAGAAAGACTGTACATCCACAGGAGGGGAAACGATTGTCTCTCCCACTGACGTTTTGGCAAGGAAACTTTCTTCGGCATCAATGGACAACAAATCAGCAGAACCGCTGAAGGACCCATGATCTGAATTAGACACGTTATTTGCCGATGAACTGCTGGTGTTTGTAACGTACAAATAATTTGAAAAATCAGATGAAGAATTAACCGCCAGTTCGTCAAGGGATTTGACACCGTAACTCAAAAGATTAACAATCTCGCTAACTTTCTTAGATCCTTCCTTAGCTAATTCAGATAAATTTGGTTCTTTTTTCGGAACTTTTGTGACAACCGTGTCAGACTTCACTGAAACAACAGGTGTATTTTCCACAGATTCTCCAGTTTTTCTATCCTTACTAGAAGGAATACACAAATTGCAAGACTTACTGGTGCACAAAAAGTCTTTTCCATGCTTGATTTGCGTTCGTCGCCTTGAAGTTCTTCTCGAATTGTCTTCAGATTCAGAGACGTCCATAAGAATTTGTTCCTGCAATGCAGACCTCGACTCAACATTCTCAGAATTATCTTCCTCTTCAGTTTCTGGGGCGAGTGATTCTTCCGAGGCTTCTTCAGCTTCTTTCCGATAATTTGCTTTGTTTTCTTCAACATCCGAAATGAAGTTCATCATCGTCTTCCTTATAAGACGCAGCTGCGCTGCACCCTTGACTCCCATCTTCTTGAGTTTGGGCCTTCCTCGCTTCGCTCTTGGCTGGTATACGTTGGTAGTCAGCTTCAGCTGATCAGAAACAAGAGCACTTGGTGGAGGAGACTTCTGCATTCTTTGATAAGAACTGTTGACGAGTTCTTTGAAGTTATCACTGTCAACATGACTATTGAGGTCAGTAGTAGCTTTTTGGGCCGGCTGCATCTGTACAGGCTTTGGCTTAGGATTGCTTTTGGAAAAGAAAGAGAGAATTTTAGGTCCAGGATTTGAATCCCTAACGAAGGATTTTGCAGAATTTGATTTACTTATAGTTGTTTCAGATATGCACGAGACGTCCACACTGTTTGCAGGAGATCCGTTACGTATCTCATCATCACCAGTTGTCACAGTGGGTTCGAAGGAATCTTTCTCATTCTGTATTATGAACACACGTTCAGCTGGCTGATCAGCTTCAAGCGAATCTGGAATTTGTGTTCGTCCTTCTACACTCATGTCCATCTTCACTGTCTTTAGAGTTTCGGGGTTGGATCCCTTAATTATGGCATCAAACGCGGCATCACGAGCCGAGTCTCGTGGGTTGGTCGTGGTGATTGACGTGTCAATACTGAAGACAGGCTGCTCCTGACCAGAACCTTGAGAGACAGACTGATCGGTTGTGTCCAGTTCATCTTCGTCGTCATCAGAACTGTAATTACGATCCATTCCATCATCGTATGCATCGTAAGTATCCTCATCCATGTGACGAGGTGTCTCAGACGGATCAGTGTCACCAATAGCTGCAGCCTCCATTTTCTGTTTAATCTCTTGTTCATATTGCTGCCTGTACTGCCTAGGAATGATGATATGACCAGGACTGTCATCGGTTTGTGTTGCAGAAGTGCACATGGTGACAAGTTCTCGGCGCTTGCCATACCTTCGACTGCGTTCTCGCATCACGTCTCTAGGGGCTCTAACGGCCCTTAAATCTTCTGTAGTATTCGAGGCCACTTTGTTCTCGCTGGTGAAGCTGTTCACGTCCGCTACAGCACCGTGGTTCCACTGCACGTGTCGCTCGTAGTCACTCAAGCGAATAAAAGATCGAGTGCAATGCTCACACTTGAACATTCGAGGACCCAACTTCTTGCTGAATGGCACTTCCTGCACATTAGTGTGCCGTCTGATGTGAGTTATCAAATGGTTCTTCTGAGTGAAACATTTTCCACATAGATGACACTTGAAGGGTTTTTCACCGCGATGTATGCGCATGTGGATATTTAGTGCACCAATTGTCAGAAAAGATTTGTGGCACACTTCACAGAAAGCACATTTTGTCTTGTCGTGAATTCTCATGTGCACTTTGACGCAGTCTCTTCTACTAAAACGTTGATGACACACAGGACATTCAAACTGCTTCTCAATGCCATGAACCACCAAGTGACCTTGCAACTGCACTTTACGAGTAAACGACTTAGAGCAATGCGGACACTGAAAAGGTTTGAATTCCGTGTGAATGGACAAATGCTGGAGTAATGTTTTGCCAGTCATCATGACCTTGCCACAGAACTGGCATGGTATAGGACCTTCTTTCCGTTTGAGATTCTCAAGTTCCATGTCTACTTTTTCGGCAACATCATCTGCACTCTTCTGAGCAGCAGATAAGGCAATATTCTTCGCCAAATTGGCAGCAGTGGGATGCCTGAAGGGCAGTCTGTAGGTGGCTCCACCCGAGTCTTTCTTGGGACCGCTTGGTCGCAAGTCTTGAGGAGAGAAGATGATGGAGCCAGGGGAACAGTCCTCTAATGTTTGGTACGATGACAAATCCGATTCCAGATCATCTAAAGATGATCCTCCCTGTAATGATTACAAATTATTTACATTTCATTCTTCTTGTACCTTCCTTTTAAACACTTAGTCTTGACAGTTCTGCTAAATAGAAATAGTGAAATACAATTGAATTAAATAAAAATTCTATTTTAACAAGCAAGTTTGTCAGAGAATTATAGGAAAGATGTACTAGGATTGCTTGAATCATAAATTTGAAAAGAATTTAACGACAAACAACATGGCACAAAAATTCACCATTATCTTCATAGAGAAATTTTTTTGGTGTAAAGCTCTATCGTCAGTTTGCCAATGCGAGAAAGTGAATACAATTAGTTAATAATTAATAATAGGAAAATTGCAGCAAGACATTAAAACTGTGAATTGAAACAATAAAAAAAAATCAACAGAAATCTGTTCACGATGTCAAAAGAGTAAGAATTGAAGAACTTTGCTAGTCAGAAAGACTAGTTGTAGAATCCAAAATTCTAAAGTTGTTATTGGAGACTGGCACACCACACTGCTCAGCATAAATTCAGACATTGGGAAGAATGTGCAACTTGTGCAAGTAGATTTCCTGCTTGACAACTCCATCCTTTATGCTCAGCCAGTCCAGAATAAGAGTTGTGTGACATCATATCAACATATGCTGGGCATTGTGCACAACTGTATCTTTAAACTAGAGATGATTATCTTTATGCTGGAAAAAAGAGCTGGCCTCAAAATCATTCACCAAAAATATCCACAATTAGTATTTGGAAAGTACTTCATGAAAAAAACTAATAACTCTTTAGATATAGTTTCAGCTGCAGAGCCAAAGAATTTTAATGAACAGTCAATTATGTTCCTATTATTGCATTTGGGAGCAACTGCAGTATATTGGTCATACATAAATTTCTTAATTCAAATAAACACCTGGTGCAACAGAAACCCATTCAGCATGGAGGTATTTGGCAAAAGTTTAGATGGCATGGCATTTAAGGTAGATCAAATGCAAAATCCACAGGTTTTTAGATTTAAATCATGTTAAATTATGATAAAATAAACAGAAGAAGCTGGTGCTTTTGGTAAATTAAATTCTGGATTGTTGACAAATTTTAGGGATTACGGTATTAACCGATTGTAATTATTTCCTAGCATCATCAAACGGAAAATTAAATAAGTACCTACTTTAAAAAATTTCCCTTCATAAAGATATGGGGAATTTTTGTGACAACTTCTTTGTGTATGAATTCCTACACATCAGCAAAAAATCCTTCATATAAACATTAATTTTTACACATTAGCAAAAAAAAAATGCCAGCCATTACTTTTCACTTATTAGCACATTTCAATTCATTCTATACTTGGTAAAATTTCTAATCAAGAAGTACGGTATATCTTGATGAGAGAGCACTTGAAGCCTGATAGAAGCATTTGAGAATATTGTTGCTGAAGAATCATTCTTCAGTAGATACAGCCACAGATTTTTCAACATTAATATCTTTCCATGAAATTTGCATGCAATTTTGCTTCATTTTGACACGAGTTTAATACTAGAAGAAAAATCGGCGTCAACAATTCATGCAACTCCATACTTAACATAGAAATCATGAAAGAATGTCATACCTGTGAGTTGACAGAGGCCAGCGGAGACAACATCTCATCCCTGCCTTCTTCACCCTCCACAACCGCGATTGATGATGAAGACATGATGACTAGTCAGCAGCTGTGTAACATTGGACATTATTACAAAGGTGTAAAACAAAAACAACTGACTAAGATATTGCTATTAATAATCCAATAATTGCTGTTAGAAATTGTCACAGAAGTAATTCCAAGAATTTAAGAAAGAATTCCATAATTTTAACTAAATAACATTCAGAATTATCCACTTTAATTTCTTTAAAAGAGTATTAGCTTTTTCCAAAGTTTATTAAAAATCAGAAAAATTCATGAATTTATTTATATTAATTCTAAAACTAGTCCTTTTACTGTGGCCAAATTTTCATAAATTTGAACAATACTTCCAGATGTTCCTGATTTGGTAAAGTTTTTATACAAAACATTTGACTAAGTTCAGAAAAAATTTGTTTTACCCCTTCTATAAAATAAATACTAAGATCCAAAGGAACTCTAGAAATTACTTCAACAATGAGAACTGCATGTTTACAAGCAATTATAATGTTATTATTGACTCTACTGGACAATGCATACTACGGTAATCATTCTGATGAGCAGATTTTTTGAGTATCTTGGTCATCATTGCAATAATCTGAATAAAAATAAAATAAAGTTGCCTATATTTTGTACAATCTTCCTGCCCAACCTCACCAAATAGCTATGTGAATGGAATCCAGTAGCACCTCAAAGAGAACCTGAAAGGCACACTCTGTGCTTCACTCAGCTAGTTATTGCACCGGAGTTGGAGAGCTAAAATTATTATTTAGCAAGTAAATATGATTTTCAGAATTACAAAATATATATAACTAATTTAAATTGACTAATGTTTGATTTGATTGCTAATATTTAAGGCAATGTGGAATTTGTACCACCAATATTTCATAATCAAGATGTATATACTGCAAAATATATAGAAACCATTGATATTTAAAAAAAAGTCAGAAAAAAGCCTTTTTAAAGCAGAAAATTTTTTATAGACTGATTGAATATATGGTCTATTTGGAACACACGATAGTGACAACAAATTTAGTGACACAACAAATTTCTCTTTATTGAACAAGTGTCTGGCCATTTAGTATCTTTATATATATTTAGTTGGCACAAATATCACCCACACCAAGTCACTTCAGAGATTAGTTTGAGAATAAATCAGAACCTATTTCCAACTAAATGAATAGAAAAGATAATTTATTTCTTATATATAAGATGTGTTTAGAATTTATTGAACCTGATATATTTTTGTTTAAAGCATGAGAATGTTTGACTAGTCCTTCCTTTCACATCTCCCTTTGTGGAGATGTGAAACTTTAGTGGCAAGCTGTGAATCATTTCTGACCTCACAGATAGCATCAGTTGCTGGCAGTTGGTTCTATAACTAATGTAGACAGTGGTAATTGGATTTAGGTTTGCTCAAATAACAGGTGAACCTGAGCTGCAATATTGCATCAACTTTAATGGTAATCATGGCTATACTCAAGTTTAAACCATTAGCAAGATTCAACAAACTTTAGGGAGGGTGATCACTATCAATGAGTTTACAAAATGGAACCTGAAGGAAAGATGATGTTATCACAGTGGAAATATCCACCATCTTCAACTCCAAAATTTTAGATGGGACATCTTTAATCGGGACAGTTGTCCCACATTTTGTATAAATGTTGTAGCAGCTAAACTATTCAAAATATTGCAAAATTAAAAACAGTGGCATAAAGTTCAACATTTTTCTATCTGTGTAGCATACAGCAAATTAAGAAATCATACATTTACTACCTCTAAAAAATCCCCCCAAAAAAGTGTGAAAAGTGAGATTTTGGAAAAGTACCTCTGCTAAGGTCTGTAGCAAAAAAAAAAATATTTGCCCCATTAAAAAACTTTATTTGCATAAAAGTTGCACACATGTGTGGACTTAAAAATGTGATTGAAGGAATTTGCGCATCTCATTCCAAAAAAATGGTGGCCATTTCTGCATAACGGGGTAATAAGGGACACCCCCCCCCTCTGGAGTAACAAGGGACATCCATAGAAATGCATTTACAGTAGGACTTCAGCTAGCAAAGGCTCCAGTTCACTAAAAATCAATTAACAACAAAAATTTTGGTTACATTTACCTTGCTTAGCAAAAAAATTTCATTTAACAAAAAATTAATGCATCATCAGTCATTGCAAAATTTTGCATAGATTTCATAGATAGAATTGTACACTGGGCAACATAGAATGATAGAATGGAAAGTAATCAACCTAAACTATGATTTATTTCTACAAAGAATATTAGGGTTGTCACTAAAATATTCCTTCCCATTTCAGGTTTGTTTTTACAAATTTTTCTTGTTTTAGTGAATTCACATGACCCAAATAAAATGGTGTGAAATTACAAGCTGTCCTGTAAGCTTACAGATACCGTCAAACAGGGTAAAAAGGGACAGTTTTGAGCGTTTTTTTGTTAATAACTTCTTACCATGAAACATTTTAAAGGTCTTTGCAAAGGCTATCGTATGGCATCTCCAAAAAAAATTCCATATGCTATTTGTAAGGTGTGAGACACAATATAAAAGGCTCCTTAATTAATCTGGAAATGGGGTAAAAAGGGACACTTGAAATAAAACTCAATTTTAAACATTTGAAGCACGCAGAGTGTATTCGTCTATTATTAACAGTACTCTTGAAGTCCTCCTCTTCCTTTGTAGATGATGTAAATGTAGAATGAATGAAATTTTCTGTGATTTTTACTTGGTTTTTCTTCATTGATATACTATTACCTTATTCATACATTACCGTATTATTAATGTGAAATTACTGTATCCACTTGACATCCCATTGAGCATTAACAACAACCTTGTCCACTACAAGCTTCATATCAGCAGCCATGTAGCATTTCTTCTGTCAATCACGTTTTTAAGCCAACACTAGTGTGCAACTTTTAATAAGTAAAATTTTTCAATACGACATATATTTTTTCTGCTACAGACCTTAGCAGAGGTACTTTTCCAAAATCTCACTTTTTACACTTTTTTTCAGGGATTTTTTAGAGGTAATAAATATATGATTTCTCAACTTGCTTTATGCTGCATAGAAAATAAATTTTTGAACTTCACATCACTATTTTTAGTTTTGCAATAGTATTTTAATTAGTTTAGCTGCTACAACATTTCTACAAAATGTTGGAGGACTGTCCCTTATTACCCCGCCTGTCCCTTTTTACCCGGTTTGACGGTACAGAAGAAATGCTATTAAGCTGCTGATATGAAGCTTGCAGTAGACAAGGTGGTTGTAAATGCTCAAAGGCATGATCATGGATATGGTAATATCATATCAATAAAGAAAAAAACAAGTCAAAACCACAGAATATATCATTTATTCTACATCTACATAATCTACAAAGGAAGCGGAGGACTTCAAAGTACTGTTAGTAATGGGCGAGTACACTATGCATGCTTCAAACGTTTTAAAATTAAGTTTCATTTCAAGTGTTCTGGATTACCCCATTCCCTGGGGTAATTCATGATGATTTTCTTATATGTCTGGCACCTTACAAATAGCATATGGAATTTTTTCAGAGGTGCCATACAATAGCCTTTGCAAAGAGCTTTAAAATGAACTCAAAACCATCCCTTATTACCCTGTTTGACAGTAACTAATACATGTAGGTTCATTGATGTATGGACAGAGGATATGATAGCCTCATCCCAGTCACAGCTGCTAACACTATGACAACTGAAGGCATTGAACATACATGTAGTCCCTAATACATGAACATGCATAGCCACGTGGTGAGAGATGATCCTGTCATCCAACCAGCACCTTTCATCTAGCACATATTCCTGACCCAATTTGGAATATCAGGCAGGAGTTTCCTAAAATCGCAAATAAAAACTATAATTTCATTGGTGATTTAAAAAACTTATGGATGTAAATAAATGGTTTTTTATTTTTCAGTGAATAAATTGAGAAAATACCATAGAAATGGGTGAAATCAGCCAAATTCACAGGCATTTTTGTCCAATTGGTCAGTGGCTTTTGCCCAATTTTTCACTTTGGTTCCTGACTGAGGTATCTTGCAAGCTATAAGATGTCAAGATTTCCAATCAAACCAAAACCAGTAACTTTGGAATTGTAGATGAAACAAAATTTATTCAAGTTATGCAAATGTTAGCATTTTGACATCAAGGTACAACGAACAGTGAAAACTGGCAAGAGCCATCCACAAAATTAAGAATTGGAATTTTCCTACCTTTTTTCCTTTTTTTCCTGGTCTTGTGGACTAAGAATTTTTTTTTTCCTTTTTTTCCTAGTCTAGTGGTTCCAGAGTGACCAATTTGCAATACTCTACATTTGAAATCTTGTCACACAATTGTGCAATTTAATCAACAATTGGATAGGAGTTAATTCATCTAGCAAGAATCTTGTGGCTATAAATGACAGGAAAGCTCTTGTGAGATTTGATTTCATTGCGGTTTTGGAATTTGTGGTATATATCTACTTTATATTTTGGTGTCCAATATTTAATTGTGAGCTTTGAATTTTTCAGTGTAGCGTGTTTTTGTAGCTAGTTTACCACCTGTAGCTCTTATTTCCAGTCAAAATTGATTTTCATGATGGTACAATTTTAATGTTGCAATTTGCAAGCAACAATAATAAATTTGATGGTCACCTTTTGGGACGCTTATAAATTTGAGTGAAATAAAGTAAATAATTAGTGTAAAGTAGTTTTGTGTCCTCAATAACTGACTAATTATTATATCAAGATCTTTTGGAGTCAGATCAAAGCAGAAGAGTTTTAACTTGTGATCACCAGAATTGTGAACTGAAGTCAGGTAGATCCTTCATTTGTGAACTGAGGTCAGTTAGATCCTGCACAGCAATTCAAGATTCAATAGCTCTAGTTGCAGCTTAAAAGAAAGATACATTTCATAACCCAAGCTAGCCACTAACAAGGTAAAAACTGTAATTATGGACAATTTCACCAATTTCTTTTTAGCGCTTTCTCTCATTTATGGAAAAAAGGCACTATTGAGCTCGTCATGTCCGTCTGTCTGTCTGTCCATGACCACATTTTTGTCAACGAGAAAATGGGCGCTCTGTCACTCACTGCAGTGAGTACAGTACTGAGTTATATTTCATTCTCTTATGAAAGTTCAGAAATGTGCAAATATTTCCCTGAGGTGATTTTTTACCTTAGGCAACTTATTTCCATTTTTAAACATAAATCACCCATGAAACATTTGTCTATTCTGCATTTTATTTCTAAATTATGCCTGACACTACTGATTAGTAGTACAAATCAAAGTTTTGAATTTTGTCATTGATCATCTGAAACAGAACACAAGACTCACTGAGCAAAATGGATTACATTTTCTGATTATTCTACATTACCTTCAATGAGAGGCCAATAAGATCAGTTTTGAGGCACAAAGTGAGACTGGAGGGAGTGGACGATGAAGGACATTCACAATGTTGCTGTGAATGTGGAATATGAAGGTGAGCACACGGGCACGTAGATGTCCATTGGTACGCAAGTGTGGTACGCATGAAGCATGGGTGCACTGTGGACATGTTGGGCCAAAGGACAAATGGGTTACAGGGTGCAATTAGGATAGAGTGTGTGATGAAAAAGAGTGGAAAATAAAAATAAATAAGCAAGTGAAAGACTATGGGCTAAAGGTGTGGAAGCAAGGAGTATAGGGAAAGGACACTAAGACTGTATCAGATGAAAGTGATGCCAAAATATGAATGCATGCATGATGGTAGTGAGAGGTGGAGACCTTCTGTTCTGTGTTAGGGCAGGGGTGCTGGGTGTGAATGGATGTACATACAGGTGGAATGAGAGGAGGGAAGATAAACGTTTTATGTGTGATGGGGATGAAAAGGAAACTGTGGAACACTTGGCGATGGAATGTGGGATGTATGAGAGAGCGCCAGTCTCTGATGGAGGTGATTCTGAATGAGGGAGGTGAGATTAACAAAGTGGGGCATGAGAGAAAAAGCAAAGAGTGAATGGCAATGATTGTGGGTCTGTCTAAGAGAGCAACTGCAGTTATGGTTGAGACTTGCGAGTGTTAAGAAATATTTGGAAAATGTGAGGAGGTTGAGGGAGACAAGGGTGGGAAGGCAAAGGTGACTGCCAAATGTTTAGTACATTGTTTCTTTTTTACTTTTAGTTTGTTGACATCAGGCATGGAATATATCTACTTGGCAAGCCGCGACTGGATTTTTTGAGCCATGGTTTTATGGATTTGCCAGCCGTGATTCCATTTCTTTGAGCCATGAATTCCATATCTAGGCCATGAAAAGCCATTTATGGGCCGTGAACTCATTATTTACAAAGTCCCATGCACGTGTTACCCCCACATCTCTAATTTTATCCTAAAAAAAACACAGTCGCTAACATTTGTCTTCACTTAAGCAGCAACTGAACAAGTGATAATGCAGCTTGACCACTCTGACATGACCGCAACTAGGTTAGTCAATGTTTTGGGTTGCTTTGTTGTTAAGGGAGGGTCTACCATCCGGAAAAACTCCCACATTTACTAATGGATCTTTCTGAAATTTCACACATATATGTAAAACCAAAAAAAAAGAACAGATTTTGTTCGTATGATTTTTTTTTCTCAATAGAAAATATGAAATTCATAGAAAACGGACAAAAAAGGGGGTACTGAAGAAATCTATCTCCTCCTAGGGGGTTTTCAAGCTCCAACATTGAGACGCATATCATTCGATGCATAATGACCATACCAATCTAGTAATGAAGCCCAATTTTTTATTTTTGCCTTACTTTTTTTCACACATTTTTCTGTTTTTTTTTTCTCATTTTCTTAAAATTTTCTCCTCTATTTTAAATCCAAACTATGCACAAATCTAAAAAACAGCTTTGTTACTCAATAGGTACGGTCTTTACAAATGGAATGGTATATGTCTCATTGCTGTAGCTTCACAACTCTAGGAGGAGATACGTTTGCCGTGACAATAAGTGTGAATGTTGAGGAGAGCGCGACAAAGTCCCACGCGCATTGCAAAAGGAACTCAATGTAGCAAGGGTACGAAACTAAACATTACTGGAGCTTGATTCCACTCAAAGATGGTGGGAGCAACTGCAGCCGCACCTCCTCTATCAAAGCCAGGCGGGTGACTGAGTTTCAGCGCCGGCTAACACTCTTTTTAAAGGGCTAGGGAGCTAATTACCGCCTATGCTATTTCTTAAAGAACCCCCCACCCTCCCCCCTTTTATGATCCGAAGTGAACGCACAAATCAACATACCGATATGGTAATGGTACCGTTGGATAGCTGAAAATATTAGCTTTAAGCTGAGACTAAAATGATAACGGAAGCACAGCCACAGCGCCAGCAGACACTATTTAAAAAACTAGGGAGCTAATTACCATCTATGCAATTTGTTAAAGAACTCCACAACCCTCCCCTCTTTCACGACCTGTCGTAAATTCATAAATCAGCATACAGAGATGGCAATGGTACTGTTGGATAGGGCAGAATGTCAGCTTTAACATGAGATTAAAAACTGGAAAAGCCAAAATCCAAAAATTTTAGGGTAGACTACTTACTAATTACTTACTACTAATGTAATGTAGACTTACTACTAATGTTATTACATTCTGTATGTTATTTTGGCAGGAGGCAGGAGCATTAAAGTACCCATATATACTGAAGTTTGTGGAAGCTGAAAATTTTATTAAACAACACGTTTGCAAAGTGCAAACAGCAATTTTTTCAATCATACAAAAAAGTATGACATTAGAGTGGCAAAATTTCATACCTACTACTGAAATTATATGATATTAGATAGAGCTGCAATACTTCAGAAAAAAATAGGACTTTCCCAGCCCTGGTAGGGCTGGTTGCGATCATGTCCAGCATAACAAAATGTTTTAGTTTTTTAGGATTGCTACAAATACGTTTTAATTGAATTTTTTTCAACATACGAGTGTGACGTGAGCTTTTAATTTTTTGATGCTAGTGAAAAAGCTTTTATGCAGCATGTACCTATGAGTATGACCAATTTAAAGGTCATGACTGCTGACCAGAGGTCAGCACGCACCCAATTCCAACATAAAAAAAACAATGTTTTTTGAATTAGTGACCTTTGTTGATTTTTTTTTTTATTATTGACAAATAATAACAAAGCAAGCCAAAATATTAATTAGCCTATTATGAACAAAAAATACCTAGGTAGTCAAGGACTCAAGGCTGTCAAGCTATGGATCTAACCCTTTCGCGGGTAAGTTACCATATATGGTAATTAAAATGGGAGTAAAAAAAAGCCCCCCACATCACCCACATTGCTTGGGGCAGCCTGCCAACAAGCTCCAACCAATCACAGATCGTGTACGAGTTACGTCATGTATGACGTAGCGCTCTGACGCGCTCTTTTGTCTGTGTGAGCTAAATTAAAAACTAAGTATTCTGAATAAATGGCAAAACGGCATTTTGGGCCCTCATTGTATTCACTTTAGCAGCTCTAGCCCATGAAGAACTGTAGGAAAGGCCATGATAGTTGCTAGTATCATAGTTAAAAACTTGCTTTATAAACTGATTATGATGCCATTTACTTGAAGCAAATGCAAGATGGTGAAATATAATGGCGAAAATTAGTGTGATCATATATGAGCATACGCCCGCCAATGCTTAGGGATGGAAGTGACTATGTTTGGTCATATGCCCGCTAATGGTAAATTTCTACAGCGCTTGGTCAATATGTTTGTTAGCATTTAGTGGTTAGCGGTATTAGGACTTAAGCCATGTTTTTCAGTCTAACGTACCTATAGTTCAGCACTTGATGCTTTCCCTGACTTTGACTGCAGTCCAAGCTCATGGCATTCCCTTCGTTACAGAACATAGAGCCAACGCAGTTGCAAGCAAGATGGTCTCTGTACTGAACCAGACGATAACATGTCCTTCACCAATACTAATTCTTACTGATAATTAATTCACAAGTTTTAGGTATATGTTGTATATGAATGTGATTCTTTACAGATGGCATGGATGTCTCATTATATGGATGGTCTGGAAATATCTTGTCATAAAATACTAAATGTACCTATAATTTTTTTCAACTTGATTGCTTCCTTTGTATGTGTTATAATACACGCATAAAAGAGCAATCAAGATGTTTTCCACCATCTAAATAGTAAACTTTCAATGTCAAAATCCGCAAATTTTTTATACCTTAAGCTGGCAAGGCACCATATATGATCACTTCAATAATTGTGATTTACTACTTATATACAAAATTTTTTGAAAAATGTTCATGAGTAAATATATCTTAGAATTGGTCATACTTTTAAGTACAATCCTCAAATATTGCAATTTCATCGTAATTCTATTTCTATGTCCGCCCGGGAAAGGGTTAAGATAATAATGGGTCTCTTAATATGAATTTCGTGCTATGTCAGTATGTGTATTGTGTAATAATTCATGACTTTGAATTTGATAGTTGAATAATTGCTGTACTCCAACTTCAAGGCCAAAAATCAGTCACATACCTAAATCATTTCAAAAATTACACAAAGCTGCTTCTAGTCCCAATTAAATACATGTAGAAAATTTACCTGAAAAAGAATACTAGTAGCAATAACTAAAAAAGTAGCAAAATAAATTGAACAAATGTCTTTCTAAATTTTTTTACAATATTATTAAATGATTTAACTGAAATGTCCAAGGTACACTAAGAAAACGCCATTCTCCATTGGCCATCACAAAATTCCAAAGAGAGTTGATATGATGTTTGAGTTTCCCATTTTCATTTAGAGCTTCAGCCAGTTTAGCAGCGAATTGCAGAACGAAAAACTTTCAGCAAAGTCATCATAAACGAAATTCCATTTCTTATGCTGCACACTCATAAGCAAACAAATAAGAATATTGAATAATTTAAGAAAACAAATCTATAACCCGTCTTATCTAGCCCATAATATTGAAGGATTGTGAAGAAAATATCTAAATCGATATTAGGCAAGACCGTCCGCCATTTGTAAAAGAGAGAATGGTGAATTCACAGTCTTTCTGATGGACGTCTTTCACATTCTCACCTAAGTAAAGAAAACTAGCAATTGACAATCAACTGTTTGGCACTTACATTTTATTATATTCGATGCGTAACTAAAACGATGATAAATATGACACACAAATTATTGTTTTACTCTCATAACAGTAAACGACGCCTCTTGGTACGCCATCAACTGCGCCACTCACGCATGCCGCGAGAAAACGCGAGACATTGCGAGCAACATTTCAAAACCAACTTTGACCCCGATTTGGTATCTTGGCCCAACCGCCTGGGTAAAAAGTTCAGTTTATTCCTTGATTAATAAATCGTTATTTTGACACAGAATGCTACATAGAGCGCAATGTTTATTCAAATATATTTATACTCCTTCTGTGGTCTTAGTGTCATTTTTTTCAATAATATTATTTCACAGAAAATAAAATTGTAGTTATGCTAAAGAAACACACGTTTTCTTTTAATAATAAATTTAGATGCAAGCTGAATTTTCTCTGGTCCAAATGCAGGAAAATTATTACCTCAATGGAAAGAGTAACTCCAATAAATTCAAATATTCAGTTGTTATATCAAAAAAACACATGCGATAACCTTTTTATTTATGCCAAACTAACAAAAAAGCAGTTACTGCAAATTAAAATCTCAAAGAAAAAAATACTGCAAGTATTTGATTCGAAAATGACATGATTGGCTCCAATGGTCATTGGAGTTGTTAATTGTTAAGTTTTATCGGCCTGTTTCAGCTTATAACAGCAATCAAGGTGAAATTCCTAGGACTTCATTATCATTCGAAGTTATACATGATAAATGATAATATAAATTATTTAAGTTTAAAAATCGGCACACTGAAAATTCGTCTGACTGTTAGATACTTCATTTAACCGCAAAAGTGTCGATTCAGTTTTAAAACAGCACGAAACTTGATGTAGCGAATGCTGAAAACCCCTATATCGCGTGCACAGAAACATTTCGGAATTTAAATTCAATACTATTTTTTACCTGGAATAAGGGGTTACGGTCGTAAATCGCTTTAATGAATGAAGCTTCGGAAATATGCTCCCTATATCATGTCAATGATCTCTATATCACTTCTACAAAAATTCCCCTGTTATTTTAAATCGTTCTAATTTCACTTTCACTAAACCTTCCTAACATATTTTAATGGTCTTGAAGCTTTACGCGGCTTGCTTCTTTTCGTCATTGTATCAGAAGACTCGATGGACATAGATGACTGCTATCATTATTTTTACTCAATGAAGTTTTTAATTATGGCGACGAATTGCCATTTTATCCTAATCGGTCAACAGGACGAGGGCGATGTTTCACCGGATGAGTAAATATGGTATCTGAGCTTAGGTATCTTAGTAAGTATATATAAAACGAAATTGACTCTAAAAATTGTATTCAACATTCAGGTTTGAAACCCTCTTTCCATGAGAAAACAAATGTTGAATTTTGGGTTGATATGCAGGATCTAGTACGTACTTTCTCAATTTAGAAAATATAACAGCAACTTGCTTCCGTCGTAGGAATGAACAAGTTGCAAAGTTAAGGGAATCTCTTAACGCACGCTTTCGCAAGGAATACCTCGGTCTTCTGGAACGCAAACCCATTCAGAAGTCAACTGAACTGACAGTAGGACAGCTCGTATTAATTGGAAAAGATGGAAAGAAAATATATGAATGGCCATTGTGGAGAGTCAAGGAACTCGTCAAGGGAACAGATGGAGTAATATAGTGCGCACCATCAAGTTGAGAACTGCTGCTGGCGCCGTACTGAGACCGTTATAGCGTTTGTACCCTCTGGAGTTGCCCGATGCTCCTGTAACTCTTGTATCCAATAAATCTATAGGAATAATAATTGTTCGGGACGAAGATCACATGACTGAACTATGCGTGGCCTTAGAACTCAATTCGGTCATGAAGTTTACCTGTGTATTTGGACTAAATCAGTCTTTACCCTTCCTCGATATACCCGTGCAAGTAGAGGATAATTTGTTCGTCACTAAAGTTCATCGAAAACCTACATACATCGCAATAGAAGAGCTACTGTCGGTAAACCAGTTACGAAAAAGCATTGGACATTAAATATCAGAGCTCACGAAGAAATAATTGGACTATTAAATTATTCGAAATAAAATAACTCCTGAAAACTCCAAAAATACGAACTAATGAACTATCGCATCTTTATTCTAACTCTCAGTAACCGCATGTATCATATAATTTCGTACGTTTGAACCAATAAGTAGGAATCTTCAATCTAAGTAAGAGTGGCTCAAGGTATATTTACCACAACGGATATACTGGAAAATTAGAGTTTCCCTGGAGAGGTAAGTTCGGTACCCATGCGAGGCATCCTGCGAATTTTTCCTCGACACTAACGATTAGCAATCTCATATTGTTGGCAATTCTTTTAGCAAGTAGTAAGCACCATATTATCGAAATATTTATTCCATAAAGTTATACAAGCGCGTTCAGCTAGAGCATCGATTAATTATTTATCTACCTAGTTTGTACATCTCCCAGGAAGACCTCGCAGCGGACAAAAGAAGCGAACACTTACAACGAAAGAAAGCAAGATATCTAATGGATAACGAGCATGTTTTAATTTTATACATATATTTTTTTATTTTTACTCCGCAAGTAATATGATGATAATCAACTGCAGTATTCTTTTAGACTACAAGTCGAATCGGTGTCAAAGCCTCATTCATCCCACATTGTCACAGTATTTTCTTAAGTACTGTGTCTGATGTGTTCCTCTACACAAAATATTGAATACAAATGTCGTGATAATCCGGGTATTAGATATAGGATTCCTTCTCACCCAACTCTTCTCCTGCGGTTCTATGGTACCACTACATATCTATTTTATCACTCTCACTTTTCAGGACTTCAGGCCCCTTTGCTTTCAGACCATTTTCGTCCGTTGAAAGTTATGAGCATCTATTTTAGCGGTGTTATTAAATAAGGCGTTCTCACTTATATTGATTATAAATATATCAAATTACTGTAGAAAATATAATGAGACTTTAGCGTCTTTATCAAGTAAATAGTTCAATCAGCTGGCACGTGAGGCATATAATAACCGATGGTTGTTTGAACGTAAGCAATATATCCATAATTCTCCGAGCCTAGTTATAGTTAGTTGAGTGGCCACGTGTTTACTAGCACTTCAGCTATTTAGCGATCTCGCACCGTAAGTCAAGATGAACACTCGAACAAGAGGTCACTTACACGGGACGTCGGCCGCCCGCACGAGAGAGACAGAGACGGGAAATGTAAGGAACCCTACCTATATAATAACTTAATGTAAGGACTAAGGAACCCTACCTACATAATAACTTAACCCCACAACTGAGGTGTGCAGTCAGACACCGCGAGCTCAGCGGTGGGGCGCTCAGGAACAATGCCCCTATGAGCGCAAAATCTCATAGGACTTCTGACGAGCACAGACACGCGTCTGAAGTCCCTCCTGAAGGGATATAAAGCCTGAAGTCGTTTAAAAATTCACATTACTTCTCCACTTATTTTAATTTTTCTGAGCCCAAAGATTTACAATCGAGTGCGCACGTTAAATTATAAATAATGAAAATCCAAAAACAAAATACTTAAAAGCCAATGTTTTGTTCGTGACGCGCAGCTGTAGACGTTCAATGCTTAAGCAAAAATTAAGGATATTCCGTTCATGTTTTGCATCATTATCTTGGGGAAACTGGGAATGTTGAATATCGTTTAAATGCATTGTATTCATGTCGTTGTCCAGATTAAAGTATACATATATCACTAAGCAGATTAATCATGATAATTCTAATGAAAAGAGCAAAACTTTGTGTAGCAAACGAATAATTATCTTGAACGACAGAATTGATCCAAAGCTAATAAACTATATTAAGGATCGAATCAAGGTTTAACTTATGCTGTCGAAGTTCAATAAAAGTTATAAATAGGTTAATCAATTAAGTATGATTGAAAGTTATACTTAGTTGATTAAATCAATTAAGTATGACTAATCAAACACATAACAACAATTGTAATTAATTGCAAAGCTAAAATTGTTATTGAATAAAACGTAAAATAAATATATATCGTTAATATTTATTGCATGGTGTCTCTCAGCCTATAGGCCTTCCCTTCGATGAAAAATTTTCTGAAAATCGGACCAGAAATAAGGTAATCATTTTACATGCTCAAAATACTCGAATACAATAATTGCATACCGTGACCGATGTCTCATTGGCATCCAACAGTGACAAAGTTTTGGTCTCTTACACTCGTGTCGTGAATTCGGAATCAAAGGCTTCAACAAATAATTTCATTTTTAATAACAAATACGAAAATGATATCTATAAAGCTTGTAGACATGTTTGAGCAAATATTTCTAAGTAAAATGACACAAAAGTCTGTATGACTAGCAGTATTAGACGACGGTAATACAACTTCATATAGAAGTACTTTTTTAGGGATCTCTTAAAATTATCAGATTTAGTTCTTGCAGAACATTTCTCATACTGTCGAGTTAACATAGCCTAGGAACTTATTCGCCCATTTACCCAGTCTCGAGTTCAAAGGAGGGCACCGGAAAAACCGTTGATCCAAGTTTGACTTTAACCGAGCTAAAACGTTTACATTTCCGTTACCTTATTGTCATCAAAATTTGTATCAAATCTAGCTCATTACAATACTTTTCTTTATAACAAAAATTAGTTACAAATCTACGCAGCTTTCTATCAATACGTTAATTCAATAAATAACAACTTATTTCCAGCACAATGGCTGCATTTCGTATTGCCAAGTGGCAATACGAAACAGCCAAGTGGCTTGAAAATGTGAATAGGGCTTGAAAAATGAAAAAACAGCCAAGTGGCTTGAAAATGTTACCCTTGCAACTAAATCTGGCGAGCATTATGCAGATTTTTGGCCATGCACTATTTGGAAGTTGCCGCTGTACCGTCGCACCGCATCGGAAGGCCTGCTGGACAGCGCAAGAGCGTTCAGGTAGTCGCTGATCTCACCTCCCTCCCAGTTACGAACCCGCACAGTCTTCAACAAACTGCGAAATGACAAATTGAAATCAGACCCTTCGCTAATACTCTGAGTTCTTGAATAGTGATTGCACAATCGGCTCAAAAACTCATTAATTCCATGTTAAATAGACTATAGAATTTAAGAATGTTCGTCCAAATTAATTGAGTGATGAGAGGTTACATAGGAAATATTTCCTAGTTTTACAAAATGTTTGCTGATGGGCTGCGTGAAGGTAATGAGAAACTAATTAAAATTGTCAAATTTCTGTCGAATCGCTCATTCTATCGATTGATGCGCAAAATGCACATCAATCAAAATTTAATCTCTTTTAAAAAACTGAAACGAAATTCGCAAGCTTGCCCTAATTTCTATGTGAAAACTACAATATCACTATAATACATCGGATTTATCACGCTTTTTAGTCTTGAATAGAGCCTCATATACTTACTCCTGCACCTCCTGCATGAGTTTCTGTCGCTCGTCTGAGGGAGGTTCGGTCACCAACTCGAAAATTTCTGCGAAAATCTCGATGTTGTCGCAGCCCAGGATGTGAATGTCAACGCCAGGACTCATGACGCTGAACTGTGCCGCCAGCCCTGCCAATTCAACTCCTCGACTCTAGAATGAAAGAATCTTAGTAAATAAATTAAAAAGAGACTTCATTTTGTCTTCTGTGGACAGTATATCGTCAACAAAGTGTTCAGAAGAATTATCAAACAATATTGAATTCGAGCATTAATTTTGCTGAAAAGTACACGCGGGTTCACCGAGAGAGCAATTTTCATTTTACATTTATAACTGATCTAGGTCATAAGAGGTGTTGATACGCAACTTCTGAAAATTTTATTTCTTGAAAAAAGTTACCTTAGACAGCTTGGCGGCCTGACAACAGATGTTCCTGAGCTGTGAGGACGCTGGGTGCCACTGGGGCGGACCAGAGCTCGACAGCAGCCGCATGGCCGTCACCGACGAATTGATGATCCCAACTCCCTTGCTCTGCGTTACATTATCAGGTTAATAAAATGTTTCGCACAACTCTGTGCATAGACAGGTTGTTGATCTAAACGCTGTTGTATTGTTCAATGGCTAAGATAACAATATCCAATAAAAATGGTTCTATTCGCCGTGATCACCGCAAATTGTGTCAACGTTTAAGGTTTAGTCAGTCATTTGCATAGTATTTTACAGTGACAAGTTTGTGATAACAGGGTCTCCAATATTGTTATCCGTTACTCTGGATAGGTTTAAATATAAATTTGCATAAAAAATAAGTGCCCAATTCTAAATAAAATCTGTGCACCGCATCCAAAATCATGCTAAGAGGGCAGATATATGTTAATTAAAATTGTACCCCACTATATGCTATAGCAGCATTTCCTATGCATTGACATACAGAAACACCATTTATTTTCTAATTGAAGTACTTGGAAGAAAGGAACATAGTTGAGCAGCTCTGTGTCAAGCAGAGTGCAGCGGCAGTGCGACAACACCACATCCACGTGTACGTTAGTCAACTCAACCACGCGCTTTAGGGTTGATAACGGGTAGCCGCTCACTCCAATGTATCTGAAATTGGTGAATAAATAAATCCTCACAGCACTGCATCTGCAATTGGCGAATAAATCATCATTACAATGTATCTAAGCTAGCTAAATTTATTTTGAGCCTGGCCTACATTTAAAGCACTCTTCAAACATTAATATTGGTTTCCTTAGCTTTGACCTTCTTGCTCTATTAAGTGAAATGCAATCGATTTATGGAAAAGAAGATACTCTTAGCAATATTAGAAAAAGTAGAACCTGGCTTTGCCTCGTTTGATAATTTGATTCAGAGCTGGAAGCGTTTCCTTCACAATCTGTTGAGTATCGACTGCAAATTCTAAATCGTTTATCAAAAGTAGGTCCACGTAATCAATCCCAAGTCGTTGCAGACTTTCATCGATGCTTTCCAAAGTTTTCTCGGCTGAGAAGTCGAACTTTTCATACCAGGTGGTTTTATAGCGACCGACTTTGGTGCAAATGTAGTACGCCTTTCTAGGGATCTGCTTCAGAGCCTGTTTGGAAAAACATAAAGAAATGCCTTCTATTAACAAAAAATAAAAATTTGCTCGCAATGCTTTTGAAGCTAAAATTAGATCTTAATCATACTAATTTCATGAATGACATGAGAAATAATAATTTACATGAATGTTATTTTATTGCCACGATGAAAAATTATTATTGATAAACATGTACAGGTGGACAAAATTACCACATAAATTCAAAATAAATAGAGATTATATAAGCAAGCATGAATTCTTTATATAATGTATATTATTGAATGATCCTCTGAGATAGGTTACCTTAGCAAAGACTTCCTCCCCTCTGCCGCAACCATAAGCCGGGGAAGTGTCCAGGAAATTGACTCCGTTTCTGACGGCCTCGACGATGGTTTGCACGCTGACAGCCTCGTCCACGGGGCCGTACTCTCCACCAGCCGAGCAACCTCCCAGCCCGATGTGGCTTACTACCATGTCTAGGTAGCATAAATGAACATCATCGTTGAATTATATATTAAATCATCATAATTTTATAGAACAATCAGTTACACATGAGAAAATTTTAAAATTAGAAAGAGAGAGCAACGTATATAGTGGAGAATGCGTTGAAGCATATACACGTCGTGCCGAAATCGCGGAATTGACGATTCTATGGAATCGGTAGCCAGTTTGCCGAATCCGTAGAATCAGCATTTCGCTGCTGATTCAGAAAATCGGACGTCAGACTTAGAACATAAATCGACAGTTAGAGTTAGAAAAGTTTAGGTCAAGTTCGGTCAAGTTTCTTTATATTTAAATATTAAAAAAATAACTTGGCTGACTGACCTAATCCCAGATTCCTATAGTATAGAAATGCTGATTCTACACATTCGGCAAACTGCCGATTCCGTATATTTTGTACTGCGATTGCGGCACGACATATACACGCTTTTCAAGTGTTATAACTTATAAGCTCGAGAGAAAGGTTAATCGCAGGACAGAACTCACTCACAACTCAGACTTTACTAGTACTCGATATTAAGCCAGTAGGGTTTAATAAATACTTTTGTTGGGTAGAGGAAAACTATGCTTAAAATTTACTCCTAAAACCATGTCTGTACCATGTCTGAAATACACTTGATTTATGCGACGATTTGTTCAACGGACAAATTCAAAAACTCTCCTCAATTGAACATCAAATGCAGAAAATTTTTATTTAAATATTCTTGGATTTATATTCTTGTATTAGTATTATGATTGAACCCATACATTTTCAATGGTCTAAATTAGCAATCTTTTGGATTTGTCTAGTGATACTGTATTTACGGGATAAATTTTGGCGTTTTCGTTCAGAAGGCATCGCCTAATATAGTGATCAAAAATAGCAGTCAGAGAAGTAAGCAAATTTATTATGCCAGTTTTAGTAAGCTTAGATTGACTGTTGATGTCGGATCAAAAACTCTTAATGGCAAAATTTTTCATAAAATGTAGCTGTTCTTTTTACCTGTTTTTCCAAATTTGTTGTAACGAAGTTTCTTCAGTCTATCCACGTTGTGGAAGCCTTCCACATATGTTGGTAAATCCACCATTTTTATCGAACGAAAATGAGAACAAAAGGAATCGTCTCAAGTGGTAAATCAAATTTCGGACAGGTGAAATCGATTAGAATCGTACATCTGTCATGAATTATCACCTGCACTATATTATTATCCTTCAACAAATACATCAAGCGATATGAAAAAAAAGTAAAACTCATTTATGAACCATGGCAATTCAAGTTTGTTGAAATAATTATGCGAAATTGCTGTTGAATTTTTTAATTTTCCCAACAGATTTGTGCTTCCTAAAAACTGGAAGAAAAATTAACACAATTGCCAACGATTTGAGATCGGGCGTCAAGTAGCTTTCACTCAGTTGCCCGCCATAGCCAAACAGTTGGCTGTACAATCTTTTTTAGCAAGCGTAGTACATTATTGTTTAATCGGTATAGGTTGGTAGAATTTGTTCTTTTTAACAGGTTTCATTGAAAGCCAGAGAATTTACAATCATTAAAATATTTATTTGATATATTTATTTATTCGAATAATTTTTCATAGAAAAATATTATTCAATATATTCAATATGTTGGAAAAACTAATAAGAAAAATTGTCAATAAAACGTATTATTCGGTCTTCAATGAAACCGGCATATTGTTTAATCTAATACGTAGCTTGTTTTAAATCGAAGCATGCAGCCAAGTGCACTTGGATTAAAACAAATAAGAGACGCCTCGCATTTATACCAGAACTAACCAGACTACATGTCTAGACTGTGGGAGCATGAACTTTCGGATTAAAAGTTTAATTGTAGGTCATCTAAATCTCTTGATAACGGAGGTGACGTTTAAACGCTGATGATGCGTGAGCAAAACTCAACAACTTTCATGCGAACTGTACGGGGCATCATGAGATATAATAATATTACATTACGTAATAAAAATCTATTATATTTATGCATAATAACATTTATGAAATTCAAAGTAACTTTCAAGAATGGGTTTCAAGCGAATTGAACAATGTAAAGAGCGAATTTAAAAGTTCATGCGTAAAAATGATATATGTCCATTCAGAAGAAAATGATTAAGGTAGATATGCTACAGCAGTGGCCATGATGGATAGAAAGTATCTAATGGTGATGGAATAATGACTGTTTCATTGAGTAGAAAATAACGACATTATGGAATGTTCGTCTGGAAGAGTGTGAGAATATATTGGGAATCAATATTCATATTGAGATCAGAGTAATGGCAGCATTAGACTCAAATCTTATTCAAGAGCCGAAAATAGTCCATGCACGTTACAGGCAGTTGGTGTATTACTTCTCTGATACAAGCACTGCTTATCAGTTGATAAATTTAATTCTAAAAACTGTCCAGTAATTCTTATTTTTTTAAATAAATGAATACTATTAAGAAACATTATTGTGAACAAATTTTAATCCATGATAAGGGAATTCAACGTAAAATTCAATAACGTACTCAGAATAAACAGAAATGACGCAGACCTTATCGAGCTTGTCAGACTAATAGGTCGCTGACCTGGCTTGATAGATTTAATTGGGATCATGAACAACTCATAAAAGGGCTAATACCGTACTAAATTTTGTAATTTGTGAAATTCGTAACCAAATTCTTTCATCATAATCTTCCGTCAAGTAAAAAACAGCACCGTTCGGATAGTTTGAATGAATTTCGCTCCAACTTTGAACTTGATCACCAAGTTCAAATTTGGTGAAAAATTCCAATTGCCCTCCGGAACTTTAATTTTCTATCAAGTATATCAAGAAATAATATTAATATCAACAAGGATACAAGACTTCAACGAGATAAAGGAGTTACTTTGGAACACTGTTTGCAGACCCTAGATCAGCTGTTTCATTTTCTCCAAGCATTTACGTTTTCACTTTCAGGGACCCTGAGTTAAAACTAGATTCTAGACGCTTTCAAGGTCGGGCGATATCGATCGGTGGTGTCTGCCAAGCTCTCCTGCGTCTATAAGAAGAACCGCTCAAGCAACGGAGAATAATCATCCTAAACCTTTTCCCAATTCCACGGCCCTAATGCCAAGACGATATCACTTTACCAAGAGCATCGAATTAGAGAATGTCTCCGAACTCACGAAACGAATTGACACTGCACAACCACTCTTCGCAAGCGCCACCGGCTGTCTAACCACGCAAGTACGTGTTGAATTAGTCTGAGTTTAGCTTACTCGAACAGCTTCTTCAAGTCTTGCATCAAATTCTTGGTTCGTGGGCTTTCCGAGTCGCACTTGCTGCTGGCTCACGTCTGAACCCTACCCCAATGTCTGATTTATTACATTGAAGAATGTTGATATACGCCACGGAATCTATTCGACGACTCTTAAAATTAGATGGTAAATCAGTATCAGTGAGTTTCAACAATAGACAGTTTTATTCAGCAGCATATTATAAAATTTCCACATATCAGACACCGACCACATAAAAATCATAGAACTTAAATAACAATAGAAAGAAATAATCATGTATACATTATGGAGCACAAAATCCAATGAGTAAAAAGAGCATAATTTCTAATTATTATGTAGCACTACATACGAAATTGATAGAGCAGCTTTAGCATATAGAATAAACAAAGAACTCAGAACGCTGTTTTATTTAAATAACGCAGATATAATGCGCATCATACATATGGTTAACATGTGACACGAATGTGTAATATGCAATAACGTGTAACATATGACGTGTTATTAACGTGTAATATGCAACAACATGTGACGAGTTTTAGTGTGCAGTATGCAATAAAGCGTAACATGTGACGCGTTTTAAGTGTGCAGTATGCAATAAAGCGTTACATTTGACGAGTTTCAAGTGTGCAGTATGCAATAAAGCGTAACATGTGACTCGTTTTAAGTGTGCAGTATGCAATAACGTGTAACATGTGACGCGTTATCAGCTATGTAACATGTGACGCGTTTCAAGTGTGCAGTATGCAATGAAGCGTAACATGTGACGCGTTTTAAGTGTGCAGTATGCAATAAAGCGTAACATGTGACGCGTTTTAAGTGTGCAATATGCAATGAAGCGTAACATGTGACTCGTTTTAAGTGTGCAGTATGCAATAACGTGTAACATGTGACGCGTTATCAGCTATGTAACATGTGACGCGTTCCAAGTGTGCGGTACGCAATAAAGCGTAACATGCGACGCGTTATAATTAGCGTGCAGGTTCAGCGGTAAGGGAGAGCAAGGCTTGTTTCCGCTCTTCTATCTCCACGCCCTCCCAGTGAGTCTGCTTCAACGGGCCGAAGATTTTTCTGAAACGCGTAATAATAATTCGGTGAATAATTATTCTACTCGAAATAATTCATTGACCTTATCTTCATTCTTCAAGATTGAAAATCACCTGTAGCCTGCGACTAAATTTTGTATAAGAAAATTTTATAAATCAACAGGATTCTAAAAATTTATTAGGCCTTTCATCACGAAAAGATTCTTGTCATAATGGGATACTAAAAAAATGAACAACTCGAATGAATAAAATTCATTCAATGTTCGTGAAAAACGCCTAAAAACAGCCTTACCAGCATTTAAGTGGGCGGCTTCCCCGTGAAATTGAAGATATGTCTCATTTATCATATATTATGTCTATGACTTAACTTATTTATTATGTCTCAGATATGTCATACGAAATTTGAAACGTACTTGTAAAAGAACAGCAACACGGTTTAATTCTACTGGGCACCGTCCATTAAAACGCCGGTTAGACCGTATTTTGAAAGTTATATCGAACACAGTACATTGAATAAGCAGAGGTGGGCAGTAGCGCGCTACATGTAGCGGCCGCTACTAGCGGCCGCTACATTTTCAGTAGCGGTAGCGGCTCTACATTTAAGGCAATGTAGCGGTAGCGGTAGCGCCCGCTACATATTTAAGTAGCGATACGAGGTTTTGCCGCTACAGCGCTACCGCTACATTTATAGATAAAGCCTTTAGATTTTACCAAAGGGGACTGGCTACCCTCCAACAAAACTTTTTTGTTTACAAACGGATCGTTTTGAAACTTGGCACACTTATGTAAAACAGAAATCTAAGACCTTTTTGTTCGTGTAAATTTAAAAAAAAAATGAAAGAAAACGTGGAATTAATAGAAAACGGCAAATAAGGGGTACTACATTTTACTGTAGCGGTAGCGGTAGCGCCCGTTACAATCTAGTGGGTGTAGCGGTAGCGGTAGCGCCCGCTACATTTAGAGCATGTAGCGGTAGCGGTAGCGCCGCTACATTTCCAAGTAGCGCTGCCCAGCTCTGTGAATAAGTCACAACAAACCCTGATACATTTGGGATAATTGCTCATAGAAAGTAAAATTTAAGATAAAGTGGACTGTGTATATATATATATATATATATACCTTTGAATTTCTTCGACGATTTGTTGCTGGGTTTCCGTTAGTACAGACGTAGCAGCTTCAATATTTCTAAGGAGAATGTTCCTATTGTTGCACCCCAAGATGTTCACTGCAGCGGGCGACACGCTCAGCGTGAACTGAGTAGCGACGTTGGCAAGATCCAAGCCTCGACTCTATCAAATATATTACAAACTTATTGCAAAGGCTTGAAATTCCATGAAAATTATATATTCTGAGCTAACAAATAATGTTCGAGGAATTAAGTCTTCGTTATCTTGCCATGTTTGAAAAATTTTAGCAGCAAAAGTAGAAATTTAATCGTATATTGAAAATTCCCTTAAGTCAGCACAATCTCTAACCAGCTCACTCATCCACTCTGAAACAATCTGAGTATGCACGATGATTTGCAGCATGGAGAATCAAATTTATTTTTATGAAGTTATATGACTTTAAAATATTTATGAATATTAGTCATATGTATAAATAAAAATAAATTTTTAATTTTTGACGAAAAAAACAGTTAATATACTTTGCAGCATTAATGGGCACAGACGGTTCGCATGAAGACAGTTGACTAAATATAATAATAAATATGAATTATGAAACACCTAAGAAGTAAATAAATTGGAAGTACATATTGTACGAATTTTCTAAAGTTTTATTTGAATATTTAATATCTACCTTGCAAAAAAGCGCAGCTTCTTTAGCGGCGACTTTGATTTCTTCAGTTGCCGGATGCCAGCTCGGTGGACCTTGTGACGTCAGTAGACTCATGCCAGTAATAGAGGCGTTCAAAATACCCAGCCCCCGCGACTAAAAAATGTATTTTACAAACTTTTTGATTACGTTTTCTGAATTCGGTTGATATACAGAGGCGGTTGAAAATATCAATAACAACTGCGATTAATAGCATCAACTTTGATAATGATGTTTAAAGAACAGTATGTGATGTTGAAAAATTCATCAAAGTGGTATTTGGTATTAATATACTAAAATAATGTAATAAATTACACTACTTTCCTAAAAGAAATTAGGCGTTAATGACTAGATAAATAACGGGATAAAGCACATAGGTCATATCGCATTACTAATTATTACCAATGAGCCATTACACACCTGGAAAAAGGATGAATAGTTAAGCAGTTCCTGGTCCATCATTGTACAGCGGCAGTAGCTGAGCACCGTGTCTATGCGTGTTGTAGATAATTCGACAACCCGCTTGAGGAAAGACAAAGGATACCCAGTAATGCCGATGTACCTAAAAAAAGAAGAATGTGGCGTCCTTTTATTTTGAAATAAAATTTCATCCACGTAACTCTTGTGGCGCCTTAGGCCTCGCGTTTCCAAGTTGTGGACATCACAATTTTCCCGCGTCAATAAATATTTTGGTTTACCTTGTTCTTTTTTACAAAAATTTCCACAGCCAAAACACATAGGTTATGACAAATACCAGCAACTCTTGAAATGCGTGACCCACCTGGTCCTGGTCGATTACGTTGTTAAGGAAAAGAAGAATTCTAATTAAATATAAAATCTATAACAGACTTTTTGTTCATTTTCATAGAGAAAAATTAGCTAGTATACTGACCTAACTTTTCCTTGTTCCACCATTTTTCTAAGAGTAGGAAGAGTTTCTTCAAGGATTTGATTTATATCATCAACGAACTCCAAATCATGAACTTGCACAAGGTCAATATATTCAACTCCCAGTCGCTTCAAACTAGAGGTGACGCTTTGCTCGGTCCGCACAGCTGAAAAATCAAACATGTCCTTCCAGGTGCTTCCGTATCGGCCAACTTTGGTGGCGATGTAATAAGATCGACGAGGGAGCTGGCGTAGAGCCTGCAATTAAGGACATCCATGTCAAGTTCAGCTTTGAGATTAAATGAGAGTTTTGAAACAATACACAAACGAACTTGTAAGGTGTCTATAAGAGTCTCCTGGTTACGATTAGCAAGAGGAACAATATAAGTTTTTTACATGACATGTGTTTTTTTTCATTTTCTGAAACTACTTCCAACAATGTTACACATATATGATATATATTTTGAACAGTTCTGGAAATAAGGATACCTTTTCCTATCTCATGTGATAATTTTTCTTACTTTTCCAATGATTTCCTCGCTCCTGCCACAGCCGTAAGCAGGCGATGTGTCAATATAATTGATCCCTCTCCTGACGGCCTCGACTATGGTTAAGATGCTCTCCTCCTCAGCCACGTCGCCATACTCGCCGCCGGCAGAACATCCTCCAATGCCGATGTGGCTCGCTTCCATATCTGTCTCCCAATATAAGATCATAAATGGCGCCAATGCCGAATTGTCGATAAAAATCATATCCTGTCATAATCGTTGAAATTAGTTTTTCATTACTTCCTACCAATTTCAAGTATGCAGAAATTTTTGCGAAAGTGAGGATCCCGATGAAGATTATTATTAATCCATTATTACTCATCCATTATTAATTATTTGTCCAAATAAAATTTTTAGGGCAAATAAGAACAAATGTTTCTGAACAATATCACATAAGAAATTAAAAATACAATGAACCACGGATTTTCCAAATGACAAGACTCGCCTGTGTTTCCAATGCGTCTGTACTTTAATTTCCTGACTTCGTTTGGATCGTGGAAGCCATCAATGTAGGTCTTTGGCAAAGACATCATGTCTAAATCAGTGGATGTTGCTCAACAAATAATAAAAAGTGAGTTCATACGAACGAATATGAAACAAAAAAGCAATGTAATCAACTGTGCGTTTTAACAACATTTTTCAATATATAGGAACATTTAATTAATAATATACGAATTAAATTATTTTACTTCGCGAGTAAATAACATTTCTTGCTTTCTGTGTAGCAGTTATCAGTCAACTTTCAATAATCAATGCGACAATGCCAGCGACAAGATCTCTCATTTTGTAGTCAGGCTATCACATTTAGATAAAACACCCATAGTAAGTTATAGCGAGACCATTTTCTGCATTATTGTTGAAAGAAAACCATTTTAGGCTACACAAATTCATCGTTTATTTATTCAATGTTTGACCAATTCATGATTTCAATACGTATCTGCACGGGAACTGAATTTTTTTAACTAATCCCAAAATTTAAGGTCTACATAGAACTGCTTATACCGAAGAAAAAGCTCTCAGATTCACGAGAAGATTAGAGTAGCGTCCTGTTAACTCAAACTGCCATTCGATACTGATGAATGCTGATGAAGTTAGCTTAGAGCTCCGGCTTTACAGATACCCTATTCTAGAGATTATATCAGCATCTGCATCTATCTACACTTCTCTCACAAAGATACAGCAATCGCACGTTAGCCTCAATATAAGGGTGCCAATGAAATAATTGGAAAAATTGAATACAATTTTCATGTGCTTTCGCCCTCTAGAGTCTAGAAGTTGTCCTCTTCACCTGGGTATATAATAAAAATTGAATGAGATATCTCAATATTTACTGGTGGCACAAGTACATAATTATTTTGTTAATAATGCCCGTAGGAATTATTAACAATGCTTATTTGATGACATGAGCTGATTCAAAGCGAATGATGCAATATGGCCAATATTCACTAATTAACTGAAAATTAGCTGATGCAGTACACTGTCTTTGTTGGTAATGTCATGAGTTATTGAAGTTTACTTTCTGCTAGATTATTTTTTTAACGAGATTCCAAGCGGACCTGGTGAAGCGTAAGTAACTGTTTTTTGCAGTTAATTGATAGCTGGCAATTTCACGACAGAATCCAGCTGACGCATTCTCTGCCAGCAACACTGGTGCATATGCTGAAGCTTCTTACTGCAAAGAAGCTGCAGAAGCTGCCTCTTAGGTAGCATGCAGGCATCATGTTCATGAACTAATTAAACATACAACTGCTTTCAATTTGTTAATGGGATGTCCCAGTTGTCCTTGTCTTAAGCTGTTCGATCGCTCCTCGTCATTTCAAGCCCTGGTCGTAAATATTTGCTTTTGAAGACGAGTAAAACGAATTAAATGTGCGCAGCAAGATTATCCCCCCCCCCCTCCACAGTATTCCATGTAACAACATTATGCTGAGTATTCTACTGTACCTAGTACATTAAATTTAGTGTACAATTCTTTTAATTATCCAAACAAATTCCAAAAAATTGCACAATCAGTAAAGTAATGGCCCTCACCAACGAGGTCGAAAATACGTACCTATCAATAATCAATGTATTACAGTAGCGCAACAGGCATAAGTTTGTTTCTGGTCATGAGTCATGCTCATCTGTTACACGAGTCATGCTCATGACTAGCCTTTTTAAGCTAAAAGCCATCTTCTATATAACGTGACTTTGGAGGCGCTGTTGTTTTAAAAACTGACGCTCGTGAAAATGTTACCAAACTATCGGTAATGGTTTATAATACTAAGATAGTTATTCTTTTTCACATTTCTAGCACCAATTATACAAAACATGAGGGCACACTGACCAGGTTTGAACGTAGTCTCCAATCCTGCACGTATATATTTTATGTAAATTAACTTGGTAGTCTGAACTTGCATTTGCCTGGTCATTGCTGCCACTTGCCCACAAAATACTAAAAACAATCGACGGAACATATTAGCTAAATCAGAAGCAGATTCAATAATCTAAGCGGTATACACAAACGACGAATTTTTTCTGAAGGTGATGGTTTTCACTGAATACCTAGCAAAATTATGACTGACGTCTAATCTATGTTAACAGGGGACAAAGAATCACAGCGAGATAATGTCTTTTTTTTGCAATGATTAATATCATAAATATTTTGTTTACATCTGCAAAACCCTGTTTTCAAGTAGCAGAGGGCGAATTTTGAGAGAGATCTGACTCAACCATGATGCCAACGTTAATTGATGATATAAACAGCGTCATATAGAGTATAGACTGAGAGCGCCGATTCCTTAATTGGGCATAGAGCTTTGTAAATATAGTGCTTCCCTTATCCACACCGCACTTCCCCAAGATATGCTTGTCAGTATAGAGGAGTCTATAAGAATAGAAATATATTCCCAGGTGAACACAGGTTTTAGTTAAACAAACAGTTTCACAGTTGAATTACACAGTTATTGGTAGACACCAACTTTTGACGAGTTGTGCAGTTATAAACAGGCAATTGAATTTACTGGTCCAGTTGAAGATATTCGTGTTTTGCCTTTTATTGTACACAAATATCAAAGGAAATACATTTTTATTTGAATACTATAATTAACTTATATTCTGATTCAAGTAATGATGGCGCTCAATATTTTTCTTTTCACTTCGGTCTGTGGGTAATGAAAATTCCAGCGTGCTTGAAGTGAAAAGTCGCATTTAATATAATTAAATTTACATTTCATTAAAATCATGGCTGAATATATTCATCGGAGCATTTAAGGTACTCGTTTGGAGTGTACCCAAAGAGTTTAAAATCAGGCTCGTATTTTTTGGTCAATTGATATAAAAGTGCGGTGTCCAGTTGAGAGAAATAAGAACAGGCAACTTCGGCAGTAGGGGGACCACTGAAGATGTTATCCTTCCGCTGCCCAACATCTGCTCCTGCGTTCAGGCGCTGCAGGAATTGGGCGTTCTCCTTGTTAAGGTTCTCGAACCTGAAATATCGATTTTTTTGGGCACGTCAATGATCATCTGATTAATTTTACAACTTATAACTCTCCGACGAGCAAACATCATTTAATAATATTAATCGGATAATTATTCATTTTTTAAGAACTGAGACACGTCGACTAGAAAACTTCAAGGTTTTTTAGTACTGTAAAAGCAATTTCGAGGAGTGTGAATAACACTACTTGATCTACGTAGCGACGCACTTAAATATGCGCGATGGCTAGCATGCATCTTACTATGAAATGAGAACTCAGTCAAGAATCTGAACAGCAGAAATTGCTGGAAAAAATTTACTCAATTTACGAGAGAAAAGACACTAATAACGTAAAAGTAAAGAAAACACCATATTTTCATCGAGAGTATTTCGGAGACGTGCTTCATCATCAATTCGAAAACTTAAAGAATACAAGCAAATTAAGTAGAGAATAGCCTTAATTATAGAAAAAAAATTAAAACCTATGTAGCGAAAATTCGATAACGTCACATCACGCTGTTGTCGTGTAATTTCGTGTGAGAGTTTATCGTTCTAATCTGCCGCTTTTTTGTCCATCTCACTCTGCTGTGCACCTTCAAGCTGAACAGTGTGACAATGCTGTGTCGGATAGTGATTTAAAGATACTTGGTTCCACCTCTGGTGCTTTGGCTTTAAGGGTTCTTATATCAATGCATATTCCTATACGGAAACCTTGACATAATAACGCTTACAGTCCTTATCCGGTTGAAATTGTTGATCAATATGTTTTTGTGTTCCGTTCTCGGTTTTTCGTTACTTATGTTCTAATCTCTTTCATTTGAATTTCATTTCCTTTTTTGATTATACTTTTATTTTTAAACTTTTTGAACTGAGATGGAGCTGGTCTTCAAAACTTTTTCGATGAAGATATTATGAATTTACTAGGCAAATTCTTTGCTTTAAAATTCTTGGTGAACTTGCGATTTCAGCAGACTTATGGTAAAAGTACAGGACTATGTTAATAATCATATATTTTAGAAGGATTTGCTCAAACTTGAGGATAAAATTGTAGTCTATGGAGCAGGGGGCGCATTGATGGTGGTAAGGCGTCCAGTGTTCGTCATCGGAGTGTTTCGACACGACGTATTTGATGAACTCCGTAAAGGTTGGTCCCACCGGGTTGGCAAAGGGGTTACCCAAAACCCTCTCGCGGTCCGGGTCGGCATCCGCTCTAGCCATCAAATTGTTCACCTGAATTTATATCAGTGAAACATGCTTAAAGAGAAAAACTTAATGAAACATGCTACGATCATATCGTAATATTGTTTATTAAATCGTTCTACAACGAACGAGTTGGTGGGATATTACTTTAGTGTATACAAACTTATAATTCAAATAACATTCACTTTTGGCACGAATGATATTCTGTAATACTCAGAAGTAAATCTAGGCTATTTATCAAGATTCATATAATTAGTAGGTTATAATATTTTGTCATTATGATTGCTGCTGAAAATAAAATACAGACCTCAGTTCTGGAAACCGGGTTGTCTCCAAGATCTCTGTACATGCGCATCATTCTCTTGCCGTGCAGTTCATGGTAGTAAGGTTTGTTGGCATTCTCGAACTTGTCCCGATAACAGGACACGAGTCGTTCGAACGGATGACGAACCACCAAGAATCGATTTTGATAAAAAATATCCTGGTCACTCGGCTGAGTGTAGCATCAATAAGCGAAACGTTATTAACACAAGTAGGCTCGTCAGAAAGCATATACAAGTACTATTATTCCTACTTTTGTCCTTCAGGAGAATTTATTAATTATGATGAAATGATCGACGAAAAGTTAGCATGATCAATGTGCAGTTAAACCAACCTTATTATAGAATTGGTATGATATTTCACCTACCGTGAAACCCATTAAGATTTTGTACACTCTTTTTCTGATGGCATTGAGGTCGTCAGGCGTGTTTTGAGGAGTCCACTCTCCTCGCATCTCCAGCAGCGCTATCAGCCATGAAGTGCTTGCAGATTTGAAAATCGGGCAAAAAAGAATCGACTGCTCCCTGAACGACCGTGTAAAAAAAAAGTTTTAAATGTTATTACGATATATCAAAATTTTGCTACCTTATTGCGATTAGAAAACAGATTTAAATGTTGCGTTCTCACTATGAGAATTTAAACTCCATTTTAAGGGTTAAACTCCACTTAAAAATCAGTGAGTAATTATCAACAGGCATCTTCAAATTGAGCCGTTGTTCCTCACAATTTCACAAAAAATTAGACTTCACCCTGTTAACTACACAAATTTTTGAAGTTACTTATCGGCGATGAGGTTGTAGAGAGCAAGTTTGTATGACACCTTACTGACGCCTTGGGCACACGCTTCTCGCACCCTCAGAACACGGCGCTTCTGGCTGGCCAAAAATACTCCCATCTCCTGTAAACGATCATGTAATATAAGTGTTTCTCAAAGCCTTAGTTCATACTGCGGCTGTGTTTATCAATGTATGCATTCTTCGTGAGCCAGTCATGTTCGCTGATCAAATTAATATGTATGCATTCAATTATCTCTATAAACTGTACCAAGAACTTCAGTCATCACTTATCAGTAATAAACAATAACACTTCTCAATAAGCTATATATCACAACCCTTTTAATTTTCAATGAATCTAGTCAATGCAAATAAAGTAGTACATGCCATCTCAAAATATCTTGTGATCTGCCTTGTGTTCTTCAAAGTAATGGCGATCCCATCCATGACCTATTTTCGACCTAACGACGGATACAATCAAATGAACGTGATTCATGCGTAGTATAATCGTATGTTAGTTGAATATGAACAACCCTGTTCATTTTAAGGAATATAAATTAAGCCTGAACTGAATTTAAATAGGAAGCGCTGACTCACAGAGAGCTCACGAGTTTCGAGAAGAGCCCGCTCCATTTCTGAATCCAACTTGCTGAAATGTCCAGGATTTCGGGAGACAAATAGTAAACAAACTCCTAAGAAAAATATTAGGAGGAGTAACCAGTGTTTTTGCCTCATAGTTAAGGTTTTGACTTGGTCAGCATAATTTTGATGCAAACTGTCATAAGTGTTGAAAAAATTCTCTATTTGCAAATTTTTAGCGCATTTTCTCATTTATGGAAAAAAGGCGCTATTGTGCTCGTCATGTCCGTCAATCTGTCCGTCCGTCCGTGACCAGGATTTCATCGACGAGAAAATGCGCTCTCTGTTACTGCAGTGAATACTGAGTTATATTTTTCTAATTTTTAGCGGAGACAAAGTAATTTGTATTCATTCATTCACAGATGGGTTTTAGTTCAGTCATGATAATTGTCAATTCGCATTATATATATGTTAAACATCGTAGAAGAGGCTGAAAAAGTTGACCATTGTGTGCACAGTGAGATAAATTAATAGGTGAAAAGAAACTGCAGATTAAAATAAAACACCTTTAGAGAAAAATATAACTCAGTACTCATTGCAGTGAGTGACAGAGAGCGTATTTTCTCGTCGACGAAAAAGTGGTCACGGACAGACGGACGGACGGACAGACATGACGAGCACAATAGCGCCTTTTTTCCATAAATGAGAAAATACGCTAAAAACGGATGAAATTTTGTCAGTTCTATAATTAATTTTACATGTACCATTTGAAACAATAATTCGCTTGAGTCAAACATATGATACCAATTTTTTGAAATATATCCATCCACTCTATGCATAAATCGCAACTCTGTACTGTAATCACATTATATTTTCTGATGTACACGATAGTAATATAACTTTTTTTTATTGTAGTAGTCCAAAAATGTATGGCTTGTCACGTCATGAGGATTGCGGTCACATTTCAGGGCAGTGAAACGGACTGATGCTTGTCGCTCGATCATGCCAATGGAAATGCTTAATCTAATCAGTCCCTTGTTGTCATCAGATAATTATCTCATTGTATGTACATTGTACAGAGCTTATTATTCTCTTATCCTGATAACATGCAGTTTTTGTCCAGCACTCGGTCAACATTAAACTCTCGTTCACGTTCATTGTAATATAAATATTTTTTCGTCGCGTATATTAGAATATATAAATGAATTAAATATGTAATATTCTACCATTAAAATCCACGTACGAAAGTTGATTGAACTAGTGTAATTGAAAAATTTCTCGGGCCATTCATAGTTGAAAAAATATAACTCAGTACTCACTGCAGCAGTGAGTGACAGAGAGCGCATTTTCTCGTCGACGAAAACTTGAGGTCACGGACAGACGGACGGACAGGTAGACAGACGGACGGACGGACATGGCGAGCACAATAGTGCATTTTTTTCATAAATGAGAAAATGCGCTAAAAATATAACTCAGTACTCACTGCAGTGAGTGACAGAGAGCGCATTTTCTCGTCGACGAAAACTTGAGGTCACGGACAGACGGACAGACGGACGGACGGACATGGTGAGCACAATAGTGCATTTTTTCCATAAATGAGAAAATGCACTAAAAAGTGCAACATTTGTTTTATACATCAACTATGCTACTGAAATATGCAGAAAACGTGCCATAAAAATTAGATAGTCTGCTGATAAGCGCTTACGCTGTATCGGTTGAATTATCTTTGGCTCAGTGACTGTCTCACAGCAGGACTGAGATGCGGTGCTCTTGTGGTAAAGTTCTTTACGCCCCGCAGTCAATAGTGAATTGATCCATCCGTCGTGCTGCCAACAGCTGTTTAAATGTGTGCAATTATCTAGCCTGAAAAACTGTATAGTTTGACCATTTCCGATAAATGATCTAAATGATCAATAACATTGTGTCTATGAGAGTTCAATACAGTGAATTCTGCATCGAATAGGAATTAAAATCATTGGCTCCATTGTGGAATGAACATTCTGAACTCGTGAAACAGTCCCCGCCACTGAAATATCTCGTAATTGTAGCGTTTGCAGCCCAAAAAATACACATAAATTAAGGATTAAACTGATACTCTCTTGGTAGAGTACGTGTTAATGTTCGTTTCTGTTTGCTTGCTGACGTATTCATTGTACTCACCTTCTCTGCGTTGGATAATATTGAACTTTTTTATCGCTCCGACCGTAACGGTACAAATTTCAATTAAAAAATACGCAATTTTCAAGCTGAATATGGCGGTAAATTTTGTAACGCTTTTGACTAGCGAAATGAGGTTGATAAAAGATCTAAAAATTCATAGGTTTTCTTTAAAACCTAGACAAAAACCACGCACTTTAGGACTATTGACATATCGAGCTTGGGAAAACTTATCAGTATTTGCCTATCTCTGTCTGGAATGTTTTGCCGAACGATATGGTGTTCAAAATCCTGCCATTCTGCGATCATCTGATTGTAGTCAGACGCTTCAATCATTTTTAGCACATTTTCTCATTTATGGAAAAACTGCACTATTGTGGTCGCCATGTCAGCCTGTCTGTCTGTCTGTCCGTCCGTCTGTCCGTGACCTCAAGTTTTCGTCGACGAGAAAATGCGCTCTCAAGCTGTCACTCACTGCAGTGAGTACTGAGTTATATTTTTATAATCATTAGGTGGTGATGTGTCGTGTGATGTAGATCGACGGGATGGTTTCACCATGGTTGAACTATAATAAGGTTGACCCACGAGGACATCCGTCTTTCAGTTCATTTCCTTGTTACGTCATTGAATCGAAAAAATTTAAACAATGCCGTCATTCCCATGCACGACTGATTGGTTGATTGGTTTGATCGCATTTCGGTAATTAGTCAATGCCCGTGACGTCACTGAGATCAGTGACGTCACAGACGAACAACACGCTCCATCCGCGAAAATGAGCATCTCATGGGTCAACCTTATACTAGTTCAACCATGGGTTTCACTAATTCACGCTAGAACTTGTATGAATCTTCCATGAAAAATAGTTCATTAAATCCTCTAAATTCACTAGTGGTTCTCGGTTGCTACTGTTATTTGTTGTTAGAAATTCTGTATTCAAACGAAAAGGGATTTTATAACCCCCAGGACGTGCCCGTTATAACCACAGCATTCTGGAATCGATATTCACCCGGCTGAATACTATGGGTTCGTTTTCAATTTCGATAACTCCTACCTACTACATGTATATGCTCCACCAATCTCGAGTATAAGTTCCGAGGCGTCATTTCGACATGTACTTTGATGAGCACAGCTCTATAAATTTAGGAAGATCTCATGTGGACAAGATTTATATTTTTGTTTATGTTTATATTATACCTGAGGAAATAACCGATTTTGAAACTATATAGCCACTAAGCATGCAGGATTACGTTTGGATAGTATTTTGAGTATAAAATTTTCAATTATTTTGAGTTACTCTCAATATGCGACCTATGTATGAAAATAAAATAAAAAATTACTCACTATATTAAGTCTGTAAAAACTTCGGTATATCACTTTGACAGTAATTTGAGGTTGCCCAAATAAAAATTATAATGCTATTGCATGAGTCACTGATATGCAAAATCCATTAATAAGCAATTACAAGGTTTTTACCAAGTCAATTTTGAACGTGCAGTAGACGGATACACTGAACAGATTTATAATTTTAATTTCTACTCTGAACAGGTTAATTTGTTAAAGGTTCTGGAAAAATACTTCCCTTTCGCGATTAAAAATATGGTGTAAATAGGAAAATAGACGTATATTGTGAGTTAGTTTGAGCTAAGAAAGGAATCAATTTATGAAGTAATTGCTATAACGCTATATGCACGTAGGTATGTAAATCTGCTCACGATTTTTACCTCTTCGTTCGTTGTAATTTCAATTTTGGGTGCGTTGTCCAGATCTAATTCATGAAAACGTGAAGAACATAACATGATTATCTAATAGATTAATGTTAATTCCCTTAATAGGTCTAGAAAATTTGTTTCGCTTAGAATGTTAACCCAACTACAGGTATTTAATTGCCTTCTTACTGCCCAACTAACTTGGAAAGGTTAGGATTTTGTCACACTTAAATTCGGCTTTGGCTTACAAGTTCCTCCATCATTTCAATTGTGATGGTAAGTTCTAATATTAATACGGTTCTAAGCACAAAAATTACTAGATTGCTTAAGTCGCAAGTTTACCAGGAATTTAAAAGCAAAGAAAACAGCCAGAATATTAACCATTTCTTAAGAATGAAAACGTTTCGGAGTCCAGCTCCATCGTCAGTTCAAAAGTTCAAAACCTATAAGAAAATAAGAATCAATTAGAAAACTAAATTCACATCGAAGATAAAAACATAAATTGACAAAATAAAAACAAATACACATAAGGAGACAGGCATAACGTTTTCATTCTTAAGAAATGGTTAATATTCTGGCTGTTTTCTTTGCTTTTAAATTCCTGGTAATACGGTTCTAAACTATCCGAGCTAGAAATTTGTGAAAAAAGTATTCTAAATGTAATTTCTTAATTCTTCTGTACATTAACGGTGCGTCTAACAATCACGGTAAGCAAGGCATGACATATGCTCACCTATTTTAGTTAGGAAGGAAAAAGTCTGAATGAAGAGGTGAAAAATCATCCGTTTTCAGGACGATAAGTTGTATCCTTACTTATGTTTTTTTTCTCCTAATTTCTGCATTATAAGCGAGTTGGAATCACGTCACGTGTGATGTTCTGGGCAAAACTGGGTGGAATAATTCCCTATATAACGTTGTCCATATTGCTCACCTACAAGATGCAAAAAAACTTTAAAAGTATTTTGTACTTAGTTTTTCAGCTTAAACGAGTTAAGATCTACTAACCACTTAAAAATTGAACTCATGCACACAGTAAATTGTGTGTACCTGCTAAATTATGTATTCAATTTGGAATTCAGCCTTGTAAATAATTACCTGATATGCATTAACTCTTCATGCACTTAAAAAAACGCGACACATTATAACTTGTATCGTGTTCAAACATAGGGATTTTTTGTTAATTTATTACGAATTAAGAGAATCCAATGTAGATATAGAGCTGATTCCCTCAGAATAAATCTTATAGACTCACGAAATATATATCAATGAACAAAAACCCGTCGCATTGCCAATACATCTCTCGTGTTACAGTAATCTGGGTAGGTGTTTCTTGTGTTGTTGTCCTACTTAGGTATTCCAGGAAATATTCTAGAATTTCTATTCTATTTAATTCAACGTTATTTTAACGGCTTGAAGAGGTGTGAAAATCGTTACCATTAACTCATGAACTTATTACAGTCAGATCGAAGGCCGCGGATTTTGAATAAATGTACAGGGGCCATACTTTCAAGTTCGCTAAGTGAACGTAAGTACTTACGCTGTATTTTCTTGTCTATGATTGGTGGATTTTGCTTGAAAGGCCGTCAATGATTGGCTGATGAACTTACGATCTCTTAACTTTTTTCGAAAGTATGGGCCCACGACTCTTAAGAGGGAGAAAATTTTTTCTTCAGATTTGCGAGAGCCTCTGCAGATAGTCCAATGCGGCCCCAGAGAAAGTTCTTAACCTTGCTTGCGATAAATTACACTCGTCAAGCATCTAAACATGGAATGGGTCAATTTGTTCTTGAAGTTATTACACGCATGGTGGGAAATAGTTTGCGGCATTTCCGTATAAGTGCTGAGCATCTTGTAAAATACGTTCTTCGTCATAATTTTTTAGATGTAGGCACTGGTGAAGTTTTCATCGCCTCTGAGTGGCACTGAGCATGATCTTTATTTATAATTAGGTTGAAGACTTTTGGAATCATAAGCACCTCGCTGCCCAGCCTCTTCCCTCCCTGTCCTACCAGAAGTGTTTGACATGGTAACATACGTCTTTGTTCAAACCACTCGGCTTTTACCGAATGATGGCGACGTTCAAACTTTAAAAGCATATAGTTGAGGATAAGATAAGTTTTGAATAAGGTAAATTGCATGTATGATATGGAGAGGGTGTTCTTGTGGGGTTTTCCGAGATATGTCATCTTATGTTTGGGCAAAATGTGCTAGCCTTCTGACGCACCACTAACCTGTCGGATGTGTTACCTGTCACCTGCCTGCCGGATGTGTTAAGGATTATTCGAGGGACAAAGGTCCATATCATAAGAAGTGATGCCCACAGTTATTAGATACTCATATGGCAGTAAAGGGATATTATACTTTACTATGATATGCTGCAATGATAAAATGGGTTTGCCGTGAAAAAATAAGATTACTTTATTTGAAATTAAAAAGGGGTGATGAAACTGAAATTCGGTAGAGGAACTGAACGAGCTGCGATGTAACTGTAACGACCGACGGGGGGCAAAAGTCAAGTTGTGACTACTGACAAGCTACGATGCTAATTTACGTCACCTTTCATCACCAACCATGTGGTAATAGGCAGAAATGATTAGCGTGATTTAATTATTAGTTTTTGTAGACTAGTATCGTCATGTGAAAGTAATGGAATGACAATAGTTAGTTTGGCCTGCCTTGACTAGCAATCTAGACAATGCCTTTACATGTAGTCTTGTCTTTCATCACACGGCACATGTGGGCACTGCAGGTGACCGAGATGGGCTTTTATTAACTTTCGGAGCGGAGTCCAGCTAAGGTATTTCCCTCATTATCATTAAAAGCTCGTTTTCTTAAAATAAAATAAAGGGAACACATTCCATTATCGATTCAAATGTCCTACCACTTAATCGGTTAAATTGTCATTCTGACTAATTAGATTAGCTCATCATCAATCATTATGTATTTTGAAGACATTATTAGTTGAATTCAGCATGCAACACCGTACCAACCTAATTAACGTTAATTTTGAGGAGTCATGGCGCACGTCTGACATGCGGTTTGTCCTGACGTTGCTGGTGATCGGATCAATCGCTTGGACGATACTAATCATCGTTCTATCAAGAAATTCTCAGTATTCTTTGGCCGCCAGTAAGGAACGAGAGATGCAGATGAGAGATGAAGTGGCGGATGACCCGTTCCCTTCCGAGAGAATGGTGAGTGATGTTTTTCAATAAGTCAATGGTGTCGATGTTCTCCTCAAATTATATTTTAGTTAATTTTCTCGACTAACTGCAAGGCAGAAATGTTCTCGAATTGAATAGTTAGTTATTTTCTCCTCCAAATGAATGGTGAGCAATGTTCTCTTCCAATTGAATGATGAATATGTTTGCCTGTTATTGAATGGCGAGTGATGTCCTCTATTTCTTCTGTTCACTTATAATCCGAATTGTGATAGATGTCCTACTCTGCGTACAAAGTAGGGATGTTCTCAAATTGAATTGTAAGTGCTTTTGTCCTCGAATTGGTGGGTGGGTGATGTTAATGGTGGGAAATGTTATCCTGACTGAAGGTATCATTTATACGAATGTTATTATTTTTTATATACAAGTTTAGGCCGCTCTGCCATTTTGTACGCTAGTTCGTAGTGTAAGACAAACGACGGTATTTTTTATTTGAAAGTAGATCAACAAAAGATATCCCGTATGTGGGCAAGGCTAACTTTCTTTATCAGTTCCTTAGCAGTGTGCTGTTCGCAGATGTGGACTTGAACAGCATTACAGCTACTGAGGAGCGCCCAGTAGGCTTGAAGTTAACATGTTTCGAAATACACAAAGAAGAGGTTCTCAAGCGCCTGGTCGCTCTGAATCCCAACAAGTCATGTGGACCAGAAGGTTTCCACCCTAGATTGCAAAAAGAATTGTCAACCATCTTGGCCGGTCCTTTGATATTGTTCTTAAAAAAACTTTGAAGGAAGGGACTTTGCCGGCCGATTGGAAATAAGCGTGACACCATTGATCAAAATGGGCGACAAGAATGAGTTGCCCGGGTAACTATCGCCCCATCAGTCTCGGTGTTAACTATCGCCCTAAGTGTTGTTTGTAAGGTAATGGAATTTGTTGAGAGGGAAAAGATTATCGATCACTTGACTGTTAACCATCTCCTATCAGACTGTCAACACGGCTTTATTGCCGGTAGATCCTGCACCACTAACCTATTGTCTACGCTGAACGATTGGACTCGCCTGCTGGACGAAAGGGAGACAGCGAGGCATTTACCTCGATTTTGCATTTGACAGTGCCTCGCTTTAACAGTGTTCCGAATGGGCGGCTGTTGCGTAAGGTGAAATCTTCCGGAATTGAGGGAAATGCACTCCAATGGATCAGAGATTTTGTAGTGGATAGCTGATAACGTGTCAATATTGACGGAACTGTATCAGACTGCACAGCAGTGCGCAGTGGCGTGCCACAAGGAAGCGTTCTTGGGTCTGTTTTGTTCGTTGCTTTTATAAACGATATGCCAGAAGTAGTGTCAAGCGTGTGCTCTATGTATGCCGATGACAAAAATTTGTACTACTGTTAAGAACGCGTCAAATAAAGTGAAATTGCAAGATGGTCTTGATAGTTTAGTTAACTGGGCTGATACGTGGCAGCTGCGTTTTAATGCCGACAGATGTTTAAGTGCCTGACCTCGGGAAGACCAATGAACAGCAAGATTACAGTATGAGAAGACGCGGTTGCAGTGAGAGAGCAATGATTGAGAAGTCTAGTGTAGAAAAGTATTTAGAAGTTTATGTCGACAAGGAGCTGAAAATTTTTAGGCATATTGAAACGCAAGCTAATAATTCCAATTAACTTCTTGGACTTATCAGACGCTCCTGCGAGTTCATAGATGCGGAAACGAAGTAGCTGTTGATTGTCGCTGTACTGCCCCTGAATCTAAATACAGTTAGTTAATACCCTAAAATTTAGTTGAGAGTGTTCAAGTACGTGCAACAAGGACAATACCAGGCTTGACGGGCAAGTCTTACGAAGAAAGATTGAAGATTGTGGAGCTTCCAAGCCTCTGTTATCGACGTCTGCGTGGTGAACTCATTGAAGAATACAAGTATACCCACTGTTTATACAAGGTCCCAGAAGGATTACTAGAATTTGAATCAAGAACCAACACCAGGGGCCACGGCTATAAACTAGAAAAAAACTGCGTTGACAACAAACTCATCGACGCGACAACACTCCCTCTCGCTTCGAGTCAACGACATGTGGAACAGCCTCCCTGATTACATCTTTGACGCTCCGAGTATGAACGCGTTCAAGAACAGACTTGATACAGCTACGGAGAAATATATGTTCAGACATAAAATGCATATCGAACCTGGCGGAAGTCAAAGAGCTATTTCAAACTTTCGTCAGTTTTTAGAAGATCCGGTCAAATTACCTGTTTTTAGATCTCCTGTGAACAAGTTACAACAATTACAAAAATCGGCGACAGGCCTCATCAGGCCTATTCTTCAGCGCCGACATCACTATATATTATACATCATATGATATGATATGATACGACTACAACTCCAACGTTGGTGATGTTCCCTACCGGGATGAAAAGTTTTGTGATGATTTCTTCGGAAAGAATGGTAGACTAATTTCAGCACAGACTGGATGGCATATGTGATGTTCTCATCGGTAGATGCTGTGCTTTGTTGGACAGAAGGGAATGTAAACGTTCTCATCGGGAAGATGGATAGCTGTAGCATTTTCAATCTATGACAAAGATTGGATATGCATGGACTAGATACTGTATATACACAGTTCTGTGACATGATTTGAGTTCGTTAGAACTCATGAACCATTTGCTATATTCAAAGAAATGACAGTAAACTTGCAAACTTTTGGCAGATTATGCATAATGCATAGTTTCGATCGTTTTTCTGTTTTAATTACTTACAACGGAAAACATTGAACGTCTCTATGCGCAGGAGGCGTTCATGAGAGGCATGACGGAGCGAAGTGAGAGTATTCAAACCAAGTGCAGCACTGATGCTCTCAGTACGCAGTATCCTCCCAATGCACGCCACTTCATATTGGATAAGTGAGCATACATTTCGTTTTTCGTATCAAAATTTTCTTGAAGGAGTGTTTTCGATGACGAATAATTTCATAATTTAGTATAGAACGGATGCAGATGTGGAAAAAAATATTTTCAGCTCTGATTACAAAATGTTACTACCGTTGTAAATGAAAAGCAGGGTGCATTAGTTCCGCAGGTGATACAATGCTTTTAAGCTTGCGTTTCATTCAATATCTAGCTGTGTTTATGAATTTACTACCATATGGAATTAATTTGTACTCAAAAATATAGTTTTGACTGATGTATTTCCGAATTGACGTGCTTTTTTTGACGTATACTAAATAAATGAATTTTGCCGTGCAGTTTTCTAGTAAGAATGGTAGGCGCAATGTCACTTAAAATGGTAAGCCTCGTAAGGTGATATGCCTCTTGACACTTCTCAGTGACCTAATTGTTGCCGGCATCTCGAGGTTGAATTCGGGTATCGTGATAAACTAAGACGGATATTATTTTATTTTGATGGACTTTACTGTAGCATGAAATTTGGGTAATTTCTTTGAAATTATCTCCAACGAATTACCAATTGTTTAAATTAATTATTTCTAGCATATATTATTTCCTTTGAAGAGAGCTTATTCAATAATTTTTTTATCCCACAAATTTTTCGAAAGCTGACAAAGGAATTTCAAACAAAATAAAGGGGTTGATAATTGACACTGGTAACAATTTCCTTTCATGAATTTAATGAAAACTGTTTACCGCTAAAATTTAACCGATTTTCCCTTCTAATCAACAATCTTCCTCATCAATGAACAGTGACAGTGTTTTTAACGCGTTTGTTTCTTTCCCATCAGGTCGCAAGAGATGCTGTACTGCGCCTTGCCGTCTACACGAAGCGTCAGGTCTCTTTCGCTGCTCTTCAGTAAGAAGCTGCGTCGCTACCGTCACAGTCTGGACTTCCAAGACAATATTTATTACACCGACTTCCAATACCCAGAACGGCTTCAAGTATGATTAAATATTATCCTATTTTAGATTACTTTTATTCGCTCTGAATACTGACTGAAGACCACAATCTTATTTACTTCGTACACCTTTCGTACCAAATCTTTCTCAACGTTTTATTGTGATTCATCAAATTAGAAAACTAAAATTGACTAACAAGTAACGTTCCCCATTTTCTAATACGCGTTATTGCAGAAATTTCCACGAGTAACTGATACTTCGCAGGTCTTAACTCGATTTCTCGCCTCGTATACTCACCGACAGATTCCGGAATATTACAACGTTTCAATTCGGGTGATGGTTGTGCGAAATCCGGCAGACCGCTTGGTGGTGTTCTACCAAAGTCACCTCGAGAACACGGCCGACACTAACTACTATCGGGCGCTTGGCAAGATAATTCTTGAGAAATACCGCGATACAGCAAAAACTCTGTCTGCAACAGAGGTGAAAATTGAAACGGTGAAAATATATTCTCACTCAAACGTACATGTTAGAATAAGGTGAACAGAAGAACTTATATTCAAATTATAACTAGCGCTCATGCCTCAAATTCATTCTATACATTAGACCATTCCTTTACGGTACTGCGCTACATCTTAACCAAGTAACCATTCTCACAGAGGAAACTCTTAAAACTTAGCGTGGCTCCTCTGGGTATCGTGGAGACCTTATGGGTTACTCGTTACCAGGTATAAGTTATGTGCAATAGCTGCTTGAGTATCTATAACTATTTTTCACAGATTCACAAATTTTTAGCGCTAGTGGATGCCGACCCGGACCGCGAGAGGGTGCTAGGAAACCCCTTCGCCAACCCGGTGGGTCCAACCTTTACGGAGTTCATCAAATACGTCGTGTCGAAGCCCGCCGATGATGAACACTGGACGCCTTACCACCAGCACTGCGCCCCTTGCTCCATAGACTACAATTTCATTCTAAGGTCAGACTCGAGCTATGCGATCTTTCGGCATGGCCAAGGTCGCATTCGTAATTTTTTCACCAACATGCATGTTAACGATTTCTGACAAATGATGAATGGATGAAATGAATGGATGATGTGAAACCCCCTTACAGAATAAAGGTTTTTTGGGGTTTTAAAGCCAAACCCATGGATATTATAGTGAAACGTAGATACGCACTTGACCCTCTACCGCCGTATATCACTCTCCGGGGACATAATTTTCAACCTAAATTATAGTATACGTAAACTATTGAGTGTAGCAACCTGAGGACGTTTGTACGCAACAGAGAACATTTTTAAGTTGTCGTACGTGGCGGCAACCATCAGTGCAAGTCATTTTGCGCTCACTAGAACGTATCCTTTTTGGGAAGTAGGCTTGCGACAATATTGCTCCGATTACTCGTGTCAGGCGGTAGAGGGTTAAATAATTTTTCAGGGGACAATCTCTGCTTACATTGTCAACTTTTCGGAGTCATGATACCTGGTGCAACATTTTATCTCAGACGGTGTGATATTTAGTGCATTTCCTTCACTGCATGTCACAATTTTTGGGTCTGTGAATATATGTATTAATAATAAAATATTCAGTACCCAAGTTTGATAATTGGAGAATTATAAATGTCACAGTCAGTTGTTCTTCTTATTTCTAATTTATTTTTATTTCTATCGTTTCCAGATTTGAGAACATAGAAGAAGAAGGCAACTTCTTCAGGATATTTTTGGATAGTCCTAACTCGCTACCGATCAAATTTACGGATGCGATAGACACGCCGTTCAGTCTGGCCGAAGTTTGTTCGTATTTTTCTCAGTTAGACAAAGAACTGTTAAGTCGAGTTGTGGAAGTCTATCGCATTGACTTTCATTTGTTCGGTTACTCTGCTGATGAAATTTTAACGTGTTCTGACGAATATGTAAGGCAGTGATGGTCGATAATTTATACAAGAAACATAAACGATCGTAAATAAGAAATAACCCACATGCATTGCACCTAATGGTTTCTATGACAAGGTTCCATTTCTTACAGTCAAATTCTATTCATGCCGAGCCCGATGTAATAATACTTGGTAAAATTAAGATAAGCCACATCTGATGCAGTGGTGGGTCACATCTATGATTTGTTCTGGTCTTCTAAAATGATTTATAAAAGTACATTGACATCAGATATGCGCAAAGTGAAAGAAGTGGACAGTCTCTGAGGGACGAACACCCAGTCAACGAAGACATTAAATGGATGATTTGAAAATATAATGTAATTTCCGATAAAAAAGGATTCGAATACTAATTTATTCAAGATGAATCATGGTTTTAGTTAGTCCATGAGACACAAGATCTTTTCCACTCATTTTATTTGAATAATCAAGTTTCAGAGGATCTGATGAAGTAGGCTAAAGTTAAGTTTTAGAATAATCAAGTTTTAGGGGAGGGGAAATAGGCTAAAGTCAAGTTTTTCATTTGGCCGTGAATGCGATGCGGACATATATTGATTTCTGCCGAGTGCCGACAGGATTTTTTGCTCACTGATGTCAACATGCGCGTTCGGCATGTAAATGTCTTATTCTTCTTCGTGCATAACCGAGCTAGTCAAGTGTCAACTAATTTAGAAATGTGTATTACCGTCGAATTTAATTTTAAAGTGTTGAAGTAATAAATTTTTTGTATCTGTCAGAGTAACTTTTCAGAAGACTGCTATATTTCCTCACGACTCATTTTGTCTCTTAAACGTTACAGTATCAAGTTTCTTTACTGACTCGGAATTTCCGAACAAATTGGAGCAAGCAAAATGAAAACCAGTAATTTGACTATCACATATAATATAAAGACTCCGCTATGTACAGAGGATAAGTTTATACAATTTGCACACTTAACATTACTAAACATTGTACACGTCGATCCTTTGGTAAAGGTACAACAACATCCACTCGCGAGCAGACTTTTATGCCGCAAGTTGGACACTACACAATCGCAGTTCAGAAATCAATATTGCAAACATTACTTACATTCTATGCTCCAATACTTTAATGATCACACCATCGCATATTTTAACGAAATAAACTATCAACCTTTCAGCACCTCGTGCAGGAGTGTTAATTAATTCTATTTCTCTAATAAATCACTCCAAAAGCTATTTAGTTTGACGTTAAGTTGGAAAATTGATACAGAGATAATTTTGTTTATCAACAAACATCTAAGAATACCGCTATAAAATTATTCACATTAGTGCAGAAAGGCGAACACAGTCTTTTGCACTTTAATGCAAGTCAGATCTACATAGAAATGAAGAAAATTTGCATTCCTTTATAATTGGGAGCCAGGACTAATCGCTTGTGTATCTACAATCAATAATATAACTAAAAAGACTGCAGCAAAAAAATTTTTTGGAAAAGGTCAGATAAATAATAACCAAAAGTTCATCTTACTTCTTTTGAATAGCAGATTTCAAAGGACGCCATTGACGTAACAGAACAAAAAAGTAATGACCATTAATACGGCTTATGAACACAGTACCAGAGAATAGTAGATAAATTTCACTACCGAGAAATATCGTGAGAAATACGCAAAATATCATGATTAGTTAAACAAAATGAAAATTTCTCGAAGTCCTCGAAGATCCGGTATTATGATATCAGTTCTAAATAATCTGTCACTCCCTAGGTTCACAAGAAATTCTGAAAATCAGACTGGATGGGATTAGTAACCAATTTCGAAGAGGTAACAGAGATGCACCATGGAAGAACAGATATTTATCTTTAATTTCGTTCAAGGTCATTCATTCATTTCATTCTAGTATCTTACATATCAATGTAACGATCAGGACCACGATTTAATTCATGACTGCAAAATATAAACTGTGAATAAGCAGCAACACAGATGCTGAAATCCACCCGGTTTGTTGTGAAAATTTATCTACCAATTACATTAAACTGCCTGATGGAGACTATTAATATTTCAGAACATTATTCCGGAAAATGAATTCTAATAACGCGTATTATTAACGATGATGAAAATCTCATCATATATGCTCGTTTACAATTAAGATTTTCGGCAGCAATTTCTAAAACCCTACTTCATTATCGAATTCCATCCTACATACGCATTAGGGTAGATTTGATATATAATTGTTGCCTTGCAATACATTATTCAAACGGCTATAATATATGCATATGAGCATAGGAGCAGAGTCTTGATAGGCACGAACATCACACGGACATAGAAGTCAATAAATAAAGATATGAGACGCGAACGAGCCGGCTTACGCCCACAGGCAGGTCGACATACTTACAGGAAAAATATATCTTACAAACTTACACGATGATGGCCAAGCATGGAATAGAGGTAGCCGATGAGGTACATTAACTATGAGAATCATATTTCGGCCACACGCGATAATGACAACGACGATAAACTGGATACAATGAACGAAATTGTTCGATGTTTTCAGGGCACATGAGTAGCGAGATCCACGATGAATGATACAGTGAAGCTAATACAGGAAAATACGCATCATAAACAACGGATAACAGAATAAACAACAACAGGCTATACAAATAGACACTTTCGAACGGTTCCAACAAAACACAGGAGACGCATCAACTGTTGTTCTTTTGGATATTCTTCTTTCTCTTCGCCAGTAAGTCGTAGAAGGGATTGTGACTGATGCTTTGCCTGGAAGAAAAAATACAGATTATTTGATATTGCAATGACTTGATGCAAGGAAAATGCGAAAATATGATAGTATTCTCGTTCACAGAGGTGGAATCTATGAGGATAACACAATTATTGGCAGAAATGTATAACTTCATTGTAAAAACAGTTGTATTAGCGAATATTTCGGTGATTTGTCCAGCCCAATACAACGACATCAGTGCTCCTGCATGAGCACAATTTTCATCAAATTTTCAAAGGCACATTAAAACTTCAAACATGGCGTGATATCGCAGGAAAATATTCAAATTTTGCAGGTTATCAAATTTAGACAAATCTGCTAGCTTCAAAAACAAGAGCAGACAAATTAAAATGAAAATTTCAATAAAACAAGGCTGAAACAACAAATGAAGCAGTGCATCATCGATGCAGGATTTCGTCACCAGCGCAAGGTTACGTTTAACATTCAACACTACAAACCAAACAAAAATCAATGCCACAAGATTGACCTGATGCATTTAATCCACTCCTCCTTCTCGTCGTGGGTAGCAGCGCTCATTCTGTAGACGGTGTGCTTGCCCTCCACCACCTTGCCTTCGCTATCAGTTTTGCACGCCTTGATGAAGTCGGTCGAAGTCGCGTACAACTCGAAGCAATGAGGCTTGTTGCGGTCGTGCACTTCACGGACCTGCAACATCACGACAATTAGCTTTTTGATAGTATCGAAACGCATGGTTAGTCGACAGTTTCAGAGAGAAAAAACAATTACTAACAATAATTTTCTGAATAAATAAAGCTTGTATTTGACTGTGCAAATACGGGACAGTTTGGATGAATACTGTAACACACGAAGACGAGATCAAATTGAAACGCCCAAAGCAAAATTTCGTACTATGTAAACTAACACTTTGTAACTTACTAGCACTAGATCCCAGGTAGACACGCCAACTACCGGTATTACATAATACGTGGTTTCAGTTTCTAAAAACACGCGTCTGTTGAAGATCAAGTGACTAGATTGAACAACATGTATTTTCCTTCCATAAGCATCGGGACACGTGCTTCATTATCATTAAATCAGTCTTTCCTTGTATCCAGGCATTTAAATACATGAATACGTAGCAGTTAGTAAAATTATACCAATCAGTACCGATCGAAATACGTCAGTTAAATAAACTATGTTACTCACCTCAATATTCTCTAGTGGAATGATGCCTCTTGGCTCTTTATCTGTGGTAAATTCGAAATAATATAAACAGTTGTCATTTAGAATGAACCACCGTCTCTTCCAACTTTTGTAGCGGCCGCCCTGCTTCCATAACCATCCTTCTCGATCAGGATTGAAGAACGTGTGCATCAGATCATTGCCGTCATCTTCGGGAATTTTGAAAGGCTCTGTTTTGATGCTCTCGTACAAGCTCTGCACATAAAAAAGTATGTTTTATCGTTGTTTTTTAAAAGCTGCCATCAAGTTTATATACGAAACTCGAGTTTTCGTACCCACCAACAAGACGTTTAAACGGAAGTATATCGTGCACGATGAGTGTAGGTAATTATTAAGACACCATGAGTGATAATTTGAATGAATATGAGCAAATAGATGGATTACATTCAAGTCACGTTACACCTAAAACGTATAAGCCAGTAATAAAAAAGAAACCAGATTTATTTGGACAAGACCAGTGGGCTTATATTACCCTGTCATGTAGAGTGTCCGTTCCCTTGCATAGCAATAGGATTAGGAGAGCTGGACATCGTGAGACGATACAACAGTTCATACGAATCTTAATTTATTAAATTCAAGTTTCAGGGAGCTCATTCACACTTCATACTAGTCACAAGTTGATTTTAACGTGAATATTACATGGATTCGTTTTTGCAATGGTTCTTCGATTGACCCTAGAAATGTTCTCGTCTTTAACTAACATTTCATAAAGACAGACGTTATAGATGCCGAGACACATTCTTACCTCTAGTAGCTCTCGAGGAAGATCGTCGCCGTTGTCGATGCCTCGGTTCATGTTGATAAACTGTTCAAGCGTTTGTTTGTCTTTAACAGCAGGATTATGCAGAGACGTATTAAGCATAATAATGGCAAACGATAAGACAAAACAAGTGTCGGGATGTTTAAAAATTGTTGGATTGAGATCGCAATAATGACGAGCGAATCGTTCCATCATGCGGTCGATTTTTTGTGCTTCTCCAGGTAGTCGGAAGCTCCACAGGAATTGTCTGTGGCAGAAAATATAAAATTAGTTTATCATAAGCCCAACAACAGATTTTATTACGAAATAAGTATGAAATTTAAATAGTACAATTTAAATTCATCACAGGTATGTGTTCAAGATCGGAAAATGTAATACCAAACGAACTTTCAACTGTGCTCAATATTTCTAGGAAATTCGTAAAAAAAATGTTTACTGAAGCCTGCGATCTTACATGGAGATATGTTAAGACTGTACAATTTCAATAAGACCAAGTTTTTGTCAAAGTATTAACATGCCATGCTAATGAAGGAATGCGACAATTTTCGTCAACAGCAAAGTTACACCGGAATAGTTTACATCTTCATATTTTTATTCGAGGTCATTGTAAAAAGAAAAAAAATTCATCTGTTAAATCTTGAATGATACGACGTCACATACCCAAGTTCCTGAACAAAGATGCGTCTACTACATGGTATCATCAGTGAACAGGCGACATAGGTCTACGATTAACTGAATTTCCCAACAATGAAACATGTGCCAATACGTGGTAAGATCAGTGAATAGGCGACACCTGCCCACTCTTACCCGAAATCATGCCCAATGTGCTTATTAACACCAAAAAGTTTGTGCGACTCGTCAACATGGACCCGAATTTTTGATCAACAATAAGTCCATTACTTGGTAACAACAAGTTGGCGGCATGTGTCTGCACTGACCCGAAATTTTGATCAACAATAAACAACAAGTCCATTACTTGGTAACAACATCAACAAGTTGGCGCCATGTGTCCGCACTGACCCGAAATCTTGATCAACAATAAACAACAAGTCCATTACTTGGTAACAACAACAACAAGTTGGCGCCACGTGTCCGCACTCACCTGAGTGCCTGTACGAGGATGAGGTCAGTGAAGTTATGCAGCGCCACGAAGGAGTCCAAGACAGTCTGGTTGAAGTCGTGGCGCTCGCCGAGGTAGTCGCCGATTGCAGTTTTGTTCAAACCCTCACCATTGTACAGGAATTTGGAAATATCTGTAAGAACCGTGAGCGATTATACAATGACTTCCAAATTAATGTTATTAATATATATATTAATAAATGTCATATTTAATAGCCCAATAAATATTGTTTGCTTCGCTAATGTGCAGAATAAGGCATCAAGCATGCGTATACTTGAGCATCAAAGGTATTTATTACCTAAATTTACGAAGCATTATGTACTTAAGAATGAAAAGCAGAAGCCTACTGAAGAAATGGGGGAAATTCATTGGAAAAATTGAGGATGGTTGCTAGCGAGAAAATTTTTTGCACTGACCGTCGGGGGTATTCTTCAAAAGTCCGTGATCAATGAGATACTCAATGCCTTTTTTCGGATCCATGTTGAATTTTTTGCGCCCGATGCTCATCTGTTTACTCTTCGGATTGTTTTTCCTGTAAAAATCAATTAAGATGTTGAAGAAGGGATAATAACAATAGATAAAACAATAAAGCAATTAGTCCGAATTTAGCTTCGAAGAAGACGGCATTGCTCACACAACGTTATTTCGGCGATGCATTATATGAAATTAATTGAAATAGTAATGCAACTGAAAAAAGGTCCTAAATTTATATGAAAATTTTCAATAGTTATTCAAGAAATATTTACACTATTACATCTTACTTCAAAAAATTTAATATAAATAATTTTCACGTACCCGTCATCTCCCCCTTCCAGCGTCTCCATCTCCGCTGTGACATCGGCCATCTCATCTTTGAGTTGCTGCACGAAAAAGAAGGAAAAATTAGCAAAAAAAAAAACAATGGTAATCTAGAAACAGCATTACTACACGCGACAAGCTTCAACAGGAAGATGAACACGTGCGTTTTCTGTTCATTCGAAGTAACCAGGTTTCATACGCAGTTACCAAAGGCGTAACTCTGGGTAGCGATATCATAGATGGTAAAGAAGCACAGTAAGTCGAGCAGATTTTGCGTCACCAAGTCGCCAAGCTAAAGCAGACAAAGCAAAATAAAAATAAAAAGATGATGGTGAGCATCAAGACGTTTGACTCGTTGCCAAAGAGGCAGCTTCACGCGTCGTCTTGCTTGCCACGTCTCCCCATCTCATCACACGGCAAAATATCCCGTTATACACATCATACATTCATAGAAGTAAAATCAAAACATAAATTGTGAAGGCTAAATAATCAAAGAGAATGATGTTAGTGATACAACATAATTCGGGAAAATACTAGAAAGTATATTCCATTAGGCAAACATTCAAACAAGTGCAGAGCTTGATCATCTGTGCAACGGAAGGGGATAATACTGTGAGTGTTTGAAAAGCGCAGGGTTACTGAGCACAAGGAACAAGTCTCTCGCTGATAAATAGCTTAATGAGTAACCCTTGCAAACTGGCATGCGCGCACAGCTACTTGGCAGAGCGCACACTCTGAGCGCAGAGCACGAACAGTAAGAGACGGAAGATCCTCGTGAAAAATAGACTTGAGAGCTTTCATTGATTTGGGATATTCTTTAGCTGCGATAACTCAGGCCAACCAACCGAATGACACAGCCTCGGTTTTAAAATGAAGTTAAAAAATCTGAAGAACTTTACAACAGTTAGAAGACATGTTTATGTTTTTCGTAAAAAAACGAAAATAGGATTACTTGTTAATAAAAAAAAGGCAACGGAAATGCTCAATCTGTGATTACAACATAATAATTATGAATGTGGATCAGCAATTAAAATATAAATCTGCACGTAACTTCAGTAAGAAGAAACAAATAATGAGCAGTTTAGTGAGGCAATGCACGTAACAAAGGCATGACAGTCGGTGAGATCAGTTCTAACATCAGCGGATGTCATCCATAAAACAGCTAGTATGCTTAACTCTACATCCACTGACCAACTAGCTCACGCTTGATCAAAATTTCAACCATAGTCAACTGTATAGTGACGCAGCTACGAAACTGAATACTTTAACGTAACGCATTCTATGCCCCGAGGAAATTAATAACGACGAATTCGCAGTCCCCGCAATGATATTGTGTACATAAACACAATTCGATGGACAAAAAAAAATACAAATTATTAGTTTCAATGTGTTTATGAATAAAAGCCACAATGAATGGACACCAACGTGTGGGCTAGTAAGCTTAGTCATATATTTCTTTATATTTATTTTCTCATATCATGAATATAACAATATGGTGCCTGATAAGTACGGACGATTAGAAGCATTCCTTCGAGGAGACAGGGAACTTATTTCCAAGAAAATAATTACGTTTCCCAGACAAAAACTTGAATATCGACTCGAATACTGGCTGAAAACGAACGTAGCAACTGTAATTAAAGCAAACCCTTGCCCCTAGAAGGTGTCGCTAGTTAAATTTAAAAAACAAAGTCCAAAGCGAAACATTTATGATGAATATTTAAGAAGTTACGTCAAAACGTCCGAGCATTAAAAAAACAAATAACTTTGTCATTAATATACTGCGTTTCACATCAACTTTCCATAAGTTCTCACCACGTAAAACACCGCCGAAGCGGCCCTTTCAGCGCTCAAAAGGTACATAAGGGTCATGGGCAGGTTCTTCACACGCGATAACTTGAGGGTTTGCCAAGCGGAAGAACCAAGTCATGCCGATTTGGTCCAAAACACAACAACCTTCCTGCACTACGCGATATAAGGCACTGAGGGCACGTTGCTGTTTGACGCTAGTCTCACGATGATCAGTGTCATGCATCCCTCACGTGGCGTCGAACATAATTCGAAAAAGCGAATGCGCAAGCAGGCGCGAGAACGAGATCATGTCATAAACAACGCCATTGGTATTTTTACAGAATTGAATTTCTTCAATATAATTCTTACATTAATAATTTAAATACGAGCAGAACCATGGCACCATGCAATACCCAATTAACTTGAAATGCGATACACAACTCGTCCTTTAAGAACGAACACGTACGTTCGACCGCACAAACAGAATGCCTCAAAGAACCATTCTTGCGAAATATTAAAACAGACTTCAGAAGGTAAATTTTCACGCACGATATACTGAGTAGCAAATATCCCAGAACATGCGAATTAGTTTTAAAAACTTTAGTTAAAAACAAGTTCTCTTCCGTAACTCGATTGAAGGCGATTAATCAATTATAATCCTTACAAAATAAATATTAAAGAAACCCAAGGGGAAGTCAGCAATATTCGACAAAAAGCAGAATAAAGACGAATACAAGAAATACTACGCCGTTTTCAAGAATCACGACATTGATACAGGAATAATCTCCGCATTGAAAATCATTATTATTTGCAGGTCATTTCCAAGACTCGCACATCGCCAATCACAGAATGACGTTTTCTGTAATTTTTTTATATCGCTTTATTGTAAAATTATGAATTTTTATGAGTTAAGGCTTTTCCATCGATTGTTCACGCATATTTGTATGAACCTTGTTATAATCACGAAACGGCTACGCACGTACATGTTATTAAAGCAAAAACTTGCAACATCGATACCTACGAAACAAAATCTAGCAACAAATTAAAAGAAATAAACGGGTTGAGTGGTGGCAGAAGATGAAACTGGTACAGGCGATCCCAAACCAGTATTCAATTGTCCAAGGAAATGCCGGTCTATTCGTATGGAAATGCCTTATACGAGTTTCAACGTTCTCGGCAAGTTGACACCACAACACTGACCTATTCTAAATAAGAAAACTTCAAGCATGTTAATTTAATTGCTAGTATTTAGTTGATGCACAGCGATTTTTAGAATAATAGGATTCAACTGAAGTATAAATCAAGATAAAATCGAATCCAGAAATGGGTCACATAAATTTACTTATCTACGAAACTTAAAAAAAGGCCGGCGTGTTTGTTTCATTAGGTTAAACTGATGACATTGTTGCGCAATCATCTCGTATACATAATACCTACTAAAAATGCAAAACGTCGAATAGAATCAACTTAAACTTGGAGAAAACAAAGAGAGAGAGAGCAACGCGCCAACGTGGACATCAGAGCTCTGGTTGTCGAGTCACGCCCCCTAAACGTGATCTCGCGACGCTTAGTCCTTATCGTTATATTCAGTTACCGATGCTCGAGAGTAGCGAGAAAGAATATAAACAATGACACGCATTCAACAGTGCCGACTATAATGAATGAATACAATCCAAAGACAAGTTATGAATTAGTTATCCAACTAAAAACTTTTCATTACCTGAAAAGAATAAGCGGCTGGAATTGTCAAAGTGTCGGTTGGGATAGTGAGACCCCCAAGTTTCATGGTAGTTCTTCTGTTGGAGTATTTGGTCGAGTGTGGTTCGTAAGCCGGTACACTGTAGCCGCTCATGCGCGAGCGAGGTAAGCCTCTGAAGCCAGAGGGTGACGGCATTGCGCCACTCGAAAGGTAGGGAGAACGGCTCCTGGATTGCGATACCGGCCCGCGTGTGATGACTTCATCGCCAGCGTCGCTGGACCCTAACGAGACCACGTCGGAATTATCATACGAATCTGTGGAGTCGTCATAAATAGAATCGACAAGACGCTGCGACTTTCTACGTGACATTTTATCGAAGAAATGCTGTTGTTTGAGTGACCAATTTGAATTTCGCGGCGAGGTTGCTGGAATTCTGTTTCGATGAGCGATCTGTTGCGAAACCCTTTTCGAACTGCCCGCGACCTTTTGGCCTCGCTCTCGCTCCAGGAGTTCCAGTCCATGTGTGTAGCCATGACCAAATGTTTCCTTCGTGGTGTCCTCTAACATCTCGCCAAAGATCACGTTTTCGTATTGATATTCTGCTGGTCCAAGGGTGTCGAGAGCAGCGAACGCTCTTGGCAAGGAAGGGGACTGAGAATACCGGGGAGAAAATTCATTTCGAGTCTCGTGATAACTGCCATAATGAACAGAACTGTCAGCGTGGGTACGACTAGGCCTTCTTGGTGCAGGAGAAAGGGAAGATGGCATGACCGCGGAACCAGCAAAGCGGGACACTTTCATTACCTCCCCACGGTGATACTCAAAACAATCACCGCAACACCAACAACAGCAAACGCCACACGATCCCATCATTATGAGTTTCAGAGATTATAAATACGTTCTATGAAGTTCATGAGAAGAGGAAAACTTGTAACACTTCAGGCACGTGTCAAACCAACCAAAGCAATAGCAATACAAGTGAAAATGTAACAATTTTCACGAGTTTAGAGCAAGATGACACGTTTTCCGGTGGCCGGATGTGAGTTATCTTCAACCACACACATACTAATCGTTATAGAGGGTCGGAAGTCCGGGAGCCAATCCCATAGAATTGGCGAACAAAATTTTGAAAAACACGAGAAATTTTCGAAGTTCAAAAGACAGCACTTCTTATCATTCGATGATAACTCTGTATTCCATACGATTCACTAAAAATTTTTTCTCACATTTTTAGCTAATCTGTAAGCTAATTCATAATACCGCGTTCAAAGACTTGCACATGAATCATCAAAATAATCACGAAGTCTTGTCCAGTGTGGATATGCAGAATGAATTCAAATGAGGACAATCCTCTTTGAACGAGTTAACAGAATGAGAATCACTTGTGGTGACAAGCAGCACACTCCTCACTGCACTGCAACCAACGCTTAACTGAGATGTTCGAGTCAGCTGAGCTGCTGATGCCCGTGCAATCATTGAGAGTCGACGGCTCGCGTACCGAGAATTGCAGTCTACCCTGCATTCATTCACGGACAAGCAAAGAAAACGCCTTCGCAAATTGAACTGCAATAATTTGAGTATAAAGGACTTATATCAGACGATATTATCGATAAAATTAAATTCATAATAGCACAGGAACATTAATAAATCTATTTTAACTCAATCCACCCAAACCTTTGGACGAAAGGAAGTTGTAATTAAGGAAGCGGATGCTCATATTTCCCTGAATGCACTTGCGATGACGTAAAGCGTGCGTCATAAAGCCAGCCTCTTTTGAAGGACTAGCAACTTGCGTCACAGCTTTCGTCACGGCCTCAACGAGGAACCATGGGCATTACATCCAAATCGAAGTAAGAATCTCTTTTAGAATTCGACATGGTGCGTTCTAATCTGTACTTGTATCTAACTTCTAGCATTTTTCATTACTTCGAATTCATCCACGTAGGCGAATTCATCCACGTAATTCATCCACAATTTTCAGAGTAAGAAATAATTTACGAAAAAGTAATGGCATACGACAATTTTTCCATCTATAGTTTCTTGGAAACCTAATTTGAAAAACTGGAAAAAAACTTTCGACTTTGTTTGACTAATGATCAATGTATGAGCAACTTATAATGTTTAATAACGAGGTGCGTGGATATATATTATCTTGAGTTAAATTCCACCAAATTATTTGGATTACAACATTATGAGTGTTCAGTAATTTCTTTAGGAGCGAATAAATTACTGGGACTGCTTATAAATCCATAAGCGCAGCTCCTACGATAAATAAAGTACTAAAATCGAGCAAAAAAGTGGAAACATAGCATGCGTTATTGGTAAACAACCTCAGGTTAGCCTTGCTATTCCGCACGGAAGCCACGGAGAGCCATACCGATGTCTTCAAGGTCTATAATATTGCCGCTAGCTCATGAGGTTCTGCGCACTCGCGGAGGGTTCATTTTGTATTGACAATACAAAGACAAAAGAAATGGTATAAGCGAACACTTTTTGCAGAAAAAGTCGGACGCGTTACGTAACACGCAGCTCTAAAAACAATTGACGGTGAGGAATGAACCTTTCAAATTCACAGATAAAACAAAATAAAGGTTTCATTCGCCAGAAGCCACCTGTAAAATATGAATTAAGAATGCAACTTTTATCGCATAGGAAAATAATCACATGGAGCAAAGAATGGCCATTCGACAATCCAGAAGAAACATTGTTGTCTTTAAAATGTCAGTAGAAGAAGACAGTCATGAGTGCATTTGACAATAAGAGACAGGAAGGGGCCGGAGTTAAATATCTGTGTACAGAGTATGCTCGCACCCGACCTCGAGATAAAAATTTAACCGTCAACACCACAGCTCTTATTTGCGTCGTCACCGCCACCACAATATAGAATGTCATACAAACACTGCCAGCCTTCGGAGATAACCTACAATCTAGGAGCACTTGAGAAAGGAAATCGGGACAAGGTTTGAATTTGTTGCATGAACTTTGAAAATGTCAAGGATTCTGGCATCGTATCGCATCGATATGTGCACTCTAACCAACACTGTTTTAATATGCTAATACCGTCAACAAGTATATAATGGCATCTTGAAAAAAGAATGAACGAACTGACGACACAACGAAGGAAGAGTTAAAAGATAATAACATATATTCTAGCTCACGCTCCAAACTAGAAGATTATGGGCTAATGATATGAAGGTAACAATGCACGAAGACAATCAACCAACCAGATTATGAAGGCCAATCATCTTACAAACTAGGAGCTGGCTCCCTTAACGAGATTTCGCTTGAGCCAAAATTGGTATCATTCAAGCACAGTAGCAGCTGCCGCAATCTTCTGTTGCCCTCAGTGGAATCTCAGCGCTCGAGTCATTAAAATGACACTGGATGCCCGCTGCAGGCTATCGAATAAATAGAGACGACGTTCAACAGTAATAGTCCAGTGTGAGCATGGCGCCATCATGGACAACCTAACTGTTCTGAATAGATGATATGAAAAAATAAGTTCGTTTCGTAGTACCACATTATTTCGTTAATTTGATAATCGTACAGTACAATATTTGAGTTTGTCAACTTTTATATCAAATGACAGTATAAAATTACCGAAGACAAAAATATTTGATTCCTCCAATGCTCCATTTATTCAAATTTTATATAGACGAGAGCGAAAGTAACTGTTAATTTTAACCAGAATCAATAATCATGTCGGAGGTGTCTAGAAGTTTAATTAAAAACTCAACACATTGAGGGCACTGAAATTTCTCGAGAACAAAAAATATTTGAAACTTAGACAGAGATTTTAATGGTACTAGCATCCGATAATTGTGGGCATTTTTGACCAGAGAACATTGAAGTAGAACGTCTGTGTGGCAGGGACGTTGTGAAACAATACGGGAAAAAATGCACTACCCGAATAATGGCTGGCAGAATGACGATATTTGAAGCAGCCTTGAAGCCAAAGAGTAATTATCTCAGCCCTGTAATGTTCAGCAATCAAATATGGGCAAAAACGATACATGCCCAGTTTTGGAGCACAGACCCAAATTACAATTTTAAATTTGTTGAGAGAACGAATTATACTATATAAAATCCAGTTTCCTTAATACCGGTACTGCAGAAAAACTTAACAACCTGCGATAATCAATCGACGTTAAGTTGCGCAATTTTTTCTGTGAATGATGCATTTATCACAAGATTGACGAATATAATCAGTAAGAACACAACAGCCGGAAAAAATAAGTTCAGTAAATAAAATTGAACGTCTGAAGTTAGACATAACATAGCAAGGAAAAAATCTCGCAGAAAATCTAAGGATAAAAATGTGTGAATGCTGGTAAAATGATATAGAAAAAACGGGAAAAAATTACTGATCAGATGTTTCATATGAAATTTTTAGATAAAGACTCGCTGCAGATCAATTCGGGGTGCAAGTCGCATAAAAAAAATTTGATTGACAAAGCAGAAGCAGGCAGATCCTAGAGTAGTTATCAATCCAGATGAAATTTTTCTGTGACGACGCAACACAGGTAAACCAAGATAGAAACATAATAACCCCGAATAAACTTTGACAGAACAAATAAATGCCTATCTAACAATGTCGTTACCTGAGAGGCTCTGCATGGGCAGCTTCGGTGGTGTAGATGATCAAATGTTTCGTCATACTCTTCACTCCAGGCGCTAATGGCAGACTCTTCATTGATGACATCATTCCGGCTCCCTGAGAAGGGCCTTACTTTGCTGCTAAGCGTTTGGCTTCTAGATACAAGGGCGTTCTTCTTGCGCCGCAACGATGCCGTCCAGTTATTTTCGTTTACTTTCACAAACTGATGGTTAAAAGATTGGTTTCCACTCGCAGAAGAGGCATTACCATCCACGGCGTCCTCAGTGTTCTTTAAATAACTGTTGGTGCGGTGCACACCGTCCATCTTATCACGTAGAGCTTCGAGTGGAATTGTGGTTTTAAGCGTATTGATGGCACTAAGTTTCACGTTGACGGGAGACGGACATACCTTTTCAGGAATTCTATGCGCACTAAACTTCCGAGCTAAATTTCTAGACGAATGACGGAAGGATGTAGAGTGTTTTTTGGCAATTCTTCGAAGAGCACTGCCGTTTTTTAATTTGGACAAGGACGACATGCTGGAGAAAGAACTGTCATCTACGTTCACAGTTTTCAATTCACTGGAGTTTTCCATATTTTCATTTTCCAAGTTCTGAGATTCAGGAACGTAAACGTTGAGCACGGGATCACTGCAGCTGTGTCGAACATTTTTGTTTTGTTTCATCTCGGAAGCGATAACTGGTGCCGAGTCAATCATGCGTCGACGAGATTTGTTCACTGTACGGGCTCCCGCTTCGGAGTTTCGGACCTGAACGCTGGGTGCTGCTACTGCTTCTTCTTCGGGTAGTACATTTGAATGGGTAGCGGAGAAGCAACATAGGCAACAATTTTTAGGAAGCCATGATGTTTTGATATCATTCATTTCAGAAGTGGAGTTGGCTTTCTGATGCAAAGTACGAAAACATTTAGCGTGATCGGCAGAGCAGTGCCTAAATTTATTTCTGGGTATATTGTTGTTATTACATACCTGTGATACATCACTTGCGCTTCTACCGACCGGATTATTACTTTTACGTCTGTCACCGTATACTGAGCAATGACAATCACAAACGCACAGCTTCTGTCTGTCCCTACCGCCGTCTGAAGATTCTCCGAACACAAACGAGCGAACAGTAGATTTGAGGAGCACAGTAGGTTTTGAAGCGTCGGGATTATGTTTCAAAAATCTCAACACAGTCACGGCAAAGCCAAAAATGAAGCTAGACCAGTCCTTTCTGGACTCGAGAGCAGACGATAAATCAACAGCCGATGCCATGTCCGGCCAACATTGCCAACACCATGCCCGCCAATATTCCCTCACACGGACAATCGCGCTGCGAGCTTCCCTACGAACTCGGTATCAATGAAGGTAGCTTCTATAAAACTTACTCTTAATTTGAATTCATCATTTTTATATCTGTAAAAAGAAGTCCATTAATTTTTTATGAATAAGGATATTTTCTAAAATCTGCAAGAGAAAGAAGTACAGTAGGTAAATAGGATACCGCGACCAGATTCGAAAAGAAGACGCAAAAAATCCGATGCGTCGCCTCAGTATACACACATGCTGTCGACTTATTTATCTCATATTCACTTGCATCTTAAAAAGGACAAAAGATGCATATATATTGTCAAGATTAAAATATTACGACGGTAATTATCGTTAATTCTTTAGTTATGATCGTTCGTACTGTAATTTATCCGAGTTTCAGATAATTTTGAAGAGATAGATCATATTCGTAAAACTTGTTTACTTCCAAGCATTGGTTTATGTTAAGAAGCACGTACAATGCTGCAAAGCCACCGCCTCAATTTCTTCGCCAATTAATGCGAAACACAGAACGAAAATTTCGGAGTTATCACAATTTAATAAGTGTGATCGCAGCAGCTGAAGCAAAAGATGAACATTGCTTTGCATCAATATGTCGAATCAAAACTGACTTCCCCACACGATGTCACACACTGAGCGCAAAATATAATATGATGATAATACGCGTGTCTTGGCGAATCATTTCCTTAACGACTTAACGAATATTTCCTTTACCTACACAACTTTCATATGAGGTAAAAGCAGCCTTGGAATCCATGAAGCAGCCTTGCATGGAATCCATGAAGTAGCCTTGAAAAGACTAGGAATCAATATATTGTCGATATAAACGGCTCAGATTTTCACAGGACAGGAGGAAGTAGGGATTATGGAGTAATTGACTCGATATTGGAGGTAACGACTAACGACCCTTAAGAGCTGTAAAGGGAACCGCACTCTTGAGGGGTGATGGTTATGACGGGGGAACAGGACATGCGGGTCCCAGGATGAGTAACACTGTCAACAACAGTGAAATGAAAGCGAATTTAGTTTTCAGTGATGCTCATGCGAATTTAGAAAACTTCCTTTAGAAACGAATAAAATTGAAATTGGTCGAAGTAAAAGTTTAGATATGATAGAGAGTGAGAGCTCAGAGTATTAAATAAGAAAACTGTTTCGTAACGTTGATAACGAGTCGAATGATGTCACGATGTCAATACTAAATCAAAAAGAGCACAACTTAGTTTTCCACACTAACATCGGCTTTACATGTTGTCAAAAACAATTATAAGCTACACGAAGGCTCTCACAAACACCAATAGATATTAGGGATGTCATACGTAACAAAGGCAGTAATGAACTTGGAACGGCGAGGGTAAAGCGGTATAGGCGGCAATTAACACGTGATGGATGACTGTCATTATGAACTCCGGCTCAACTAAAGTGAACATGAAGGGAGAAAATTTTCCCATCACGTGAAATCAACGTGAGAAAAACAAGCACTGAAATACCTCTTTACTCGCTTAACAAACACCACAGAAGTCGTTAAGCAAGATCAATCGTTCTTCGGTGACACTGAGAAATAAAATAAAAGTAGGAAAAACAAGAAACAAAAATTAAAAATAAATTATTTTGAAGATCATTAGAAAATGTGAACAAATATTACTCCTGCAGCCTTGATGCCAACGATAAAGTTGAGACTCGCAAGCGAAAATTAAATTTGGCCCATTTGGGTTCGTTAAAAAATAACATTATTACGAAAAGATTGAAAGAAAATTAATAGGGATACTAATCAATATCGCTGAATAAATAAGTTAAATTCTGTTGTTGAACATTATATCGACCCAAACAAAAACAATTAGTAAAAAATAATCAATTGATGACTCATCGATTGCAGCAAAATAAAGAAAAATTGTAACGCAACAAACGGAACGGATGTTGGCAAGTAACACGGGGCAACGAAGGTTGGCGTCGCCAGTGCGGGTACACAGATACTGGTAAGATAAGACAGTGGCTTAGAGTGTGCGATGTTGTTTATTTGCAGCAGAGGAGCAAAATACGGGCTCAAAGGCTCAAGCTGCTCGTATCTTAGCGGTAGAGATACTCTTCGATCCGGGCTTGGGAAAAGCAGAAGTTGTCAATATTTTGATATGAGGCTCGTTTGAGTTTCAGACAAGGTACCGTCAGTAATTTTTAACAGTTTTTAATAAGAGGCCTCCACGTATCGTCACGGGATTCCAAAAAACGTGATGCATGCGATAAAAAAATCAACAGATAACACAAATCGCCAAGAAAACGCAAAAACTTGGGAAACAATCGATAATAAAAGCCGAAATTTACACAAAATTGACATCGAAATATGTCAATTGGTAAATTGCTCTCAACTATAATCTCACGTTTCAATCAACAAGATAATAGAGAGATGAGAGTACATTCATCCCCTATGGGCTGAACAGGAAAGGTTGCGTGTGGTGCCGCCAGGCTTCAGGGATTACGCGGTCAGGTCGCAAATGCCTATAGGAGCAATTTAGGATCTAATTGACGCAGGGAAGCCACTGCATGCTAGCTTCTAGTTGAAAACAAGCGTAAGCTAGACAACGTAATTAATAGGAGATGAAACTCGACAGAGTCTACTATGCAAGAGAGTATTGTTAGTGATGAGAAACGTTAACAATACAAACTGATGACTGCAAAAGAGTGTACCTATCGAAGATGTTTGCGATAATTACAGTAACACAATCTTAAACAGGAACTACTGACCACTGAACCAGTCAGCCCAAAAACAGCCGGTCAGGTTTATATCGTGGTGCGTTCTATCAGTATGATAGGATAAGCATCCTAACCTCAAAAAAGAAACTCGGTTTATTAAGAGCTGTGCGTCATTACAGAGCTTAAAATTTTTCACAAATAATTAAATAAAATAAGCACCATGTCACTCTCATTTTCAATTGACAAGCCCCCTTTGACGACGATAAGGCCCCATAATTATCAACTTTTTGTTCATTTAAAGCAGTGCGAGTTAATGATGAATTACTGTAAGGAATCACGAATACAATCTTCTCATGAGCGTCCGCCAGCTTGTAAGAGAAATATTTCCGTCGAGTACCAGCGCACAAAAAAATAAAAACATTTTACAGCGAGCAGGGTATCGACATTTCTTTTCCTCTGTGAGTGTATAAGATAAATTTAGATCGCGAAGATGCTCGCTCGAAGACATTTAGTCACGCACGTACACGCCTACGTAACAACAGCTGCCATGACAACCCAACGTGTTACATAAAAGGCTCATGTGACTCATGCTGGCAGTCTCATTAGTGTTCAAACATAGACAAGATTTTGTTCGTGCATGGGAATGAGAGTCAAACACATGACGCTCTACTGAAATGAGATTCAAATGCGTGCTAAATAGAGAGTCGGCAGTTAGGATACTACAAGACACAATGGGTCGTTAGGCATGAGAAGACAACTGGAGATAACGCTGTGGCACAGAGATGCTTTGTCTGAGCACTACACACCGCACAATACTGTGGATGCCTGATGACGCTGAAGCCTAGTACAGCCTAAATAACTTAGACCAACAGTGAAATGAACGGATCTTGAGCAAAGAATAATGGAATTCAGAAATAAAAAGGAACTTAGAAAAACTTCAAGGCTAGAAAATAAGCCTTATTGTAGCCGAACATGTAATCATCACATTACTGGCATCTTTCATGATGACATTTTCAATGAAGTCTTTATGAATCACCGCCTTCATTGCATGAAAAATTGGGTCTCGGTCAGTGCAGCGAGACGTTGACGAAAGAAAGGCAACTCCCCTCCTCAGGGGAGTCCTGTAAACAAACACTGGCCGATAATAGCAGCTCAAAAGAGCTGTGCGGAGTCATTCCTAAGAGGCTCTGAAGTGCTACACTTAGCAGAGCTCCGTAACCAAGACAACACCTCAGGCGGCGCAAGGCCTAGCTATTAACCGAAAATAACGTACAAAACGAAAGCATCGGATTTTGTGTGAGTGCTAAAAGACGCCTTTTAAAGAGAACGAGTCTTTCTCTTTCCAAAGTTGACATTTGATCCTGCAGAAAAAAAAACACCGCAACCTCAAAGGGTATAAGCTCACGTAAGGCAAATGAACACTTGAGTTTTTTTTGTGAGGATACTTTCAAAACTCAAATATAGAGTAAAAAATCATTGCATTTTATATGAAAGTTTCAGGAAGTACTCAAAAAGACACAAAAGCAAAATTAGTTGAATTCAGTTCGATTTTCTGCGATCAACTGCACACCAATCGGAAAACGAAATTAAAAGCAAAATTAAGTATCTGTCTTTCCAAACGCGAAATGATGAAACGACAGTATGAGTAGTGATGATGGACTTTCAGACATGAAGTTGCAAATATGATCTAATAAAAAGAGAACACATAATTCGAGAAATTAGAAACATTATGTCATATACGATACTCTTATATTATAATTTTCATTTTATTTACAAGCTGGAGAAATCGTCGGCAAAACCGCGGCAAACTGCGAAAGGTCATCAAACCCTCTTCAAAATCTCTCAGAAGTTGAGCTTTGCCCCCAATTGCATGCAACAGCACGGCCACCTTCACCATTTGCACTGCCATTTACATACTTTAGCGAACAACCGTGACCACCCAAAATTCTTTTCAATTTCAGAGACAGCAATCACTCGGTATGTCACTGAATTTCGTAGTTTGATATGAACGCTTATGTCAAGTAACTTGCAATCATAAAAACTGGATAAGTAAAATCAAATATCAATCGCAACTACAAACGTTTTGATCGACATTCTAGAAAAAAATCACGTACGTAGAATTGAAAACGTCAATAGCAGCATAAATTTAAATGTAAGCATTTCCTAATATCAACGAACTACGCTCATCCAACGACTACTGAAGGTGAACACCTTTCTTTCAACGAAAAAAAAAAAAGATAGCTGTAGTGGTAAGTGCGACAAGCGTCCAGAAGTTGCACTAAATGAATCGTATATGCCACTACGAAGTGGACATGTGCAGGAGGACAATCGGCTACTCTACGGGGAAAATGGAAGGGTAATTACAGAGAGGAGCTTCCGCTGAGACGAGCAACAAAGGTCCGAAAAGAGTAAAGTTCTTTCTTCTCACGT